ATGGATGGATAGATGGATGGATGGATGGATGGATGGATGGATGGATGGATGGGTGGATGATCAGCTTTTTCAGGGATCGCTCAGAACCGAGTAAAGGATGGGGGCATGGCATTGTGGGTGAGGCAGTGTAACCCAGGCAAGAGAGGACAGCCTGAGCCAGGAGGTCAGTGGGACTAGAAGGGAAGGACAGATCTGAGATCACAGAGAATGAACGTGTTGGTTAGTAATGCAGAATGGAGTCCAGATTTCTGTGTTGGTGGGTCAGTGGTGGGGCTAGGTCTCAAATAGGGAACACCAGGAAAACAGGTCCAGCTGGAGCAGAGGAGAGGTCCGTGTCAGACTTGCTGAACTGTGAAGGCTGTGGACAGCTGGGTCATGGCTCTGGACCTCAAGATGCTAGTTTGGGCTTTGTTGCCTGAAGATGGTAGCTGAGTGCACTTTTGACTGAAAGATGTGCAGACTGATGTGTGCTCAGCAAGAGCAGACTAGGGAGGACCAGCATTTAAGGAGTGGGAAACAGACAGAAGGAAACCACCCAGGAGGAAACCAAGGGAGTGTCCTAGAGGCCAGCTTGGCGTGGATCTATTTCTTCCCTGATTTCATTTTCCTCCTAGGACTATACTTAGCAAATCAGAGCAGTCTAGTAGGCTGACTCTCCCATGAGAATGTAAATTCTCCCAGGGCAAAAAGTTATCCCAGTACCTGGAAGAAGACCTGTCACATAGAAGGAATTCTATACAACATTTCCAAGACAGACAGTATTCAGCTAGCACTAGAAGCAGACCCTTGAAACCAGGTTCTCCTTCCTCCGGGCTTGACATCCTGCAGTTCTGCACTTTGTCCACAAGGTGACGCATCTGGGTAGATGAGAAACAGAGACTGGGATTACACTGACCCGAAAGCTAAAAAGTGGGCAGAACCACAAAGTGAGCAGTGTACTCAGGTCTGTGTATCCGACCTGCAAACTCCTTACTGTTCTCTTCGCAGACATCGCTGAAAGCACCAGCCCTCAGCAGGTGCAAACTTGCTAGAGCCCGCTGAACTGTTTGGGAGAAAGGCAGAGAGAACAGTGCAGGGCCCAAATGCCCACAGAGAAAGGCTGAACCTGCCCAGGGGCGGCCGGGGAAGGGGCAGGGCAGGGCTGCGTGGGACAGGCAGCTGTGAGGGTGCCAGGGTTATGTGAGCCCAAGTCTCGATCTGTCTTCACCCCTTACAGCTCTGTGATCTCAGCCCAGTCCTTCGCCCTCTCACACCTCAGTTTCCTGACCTGTAAGGTGGAGATCGTAATAGACCCTGGCACAGGGCCTGTCACATAATCACAAAGCTAAATAATATTCTTCTTAAAACTGGGTATACTATCCGAGATATGGATAACCATTTCACAAAGCCCTCGCTGTATTCGTTAGGCCATAAATATAATCCATCCTCTTAATAACGCTGCCAAATAACCCTTTTATTATTCTACTTCCCAGATAAGAGGACTAAAGTTAACAGATTATGTTTGTCCACAATCACACGTCTCATAAAACTGGGGACACATGCCAAGTTCAGCTTGGCAAGCGTCCACACCACAGGTGCCCTGCGCGGCAGGCGCCCTGCCAGGAGGAGGCACCAAGACAGGGAGTCACGGTCTAGGGGGGGCCACATACGTGGACAGTGCCGTGGGACATGTTCGGTGGGCAGACGCCCAGGATGCACGGGGTAGAGATGGAAGCCACTCAGCCGTCACTGGGATGGAGAAGGTTGTAAGTGTGTGAGAGCTGAGCCCAGAGGTCCCAGATCTGCTCTCCTGATGGGCAGGCAGGCGACACTATGATGCCAGGCAGAGCTTGGCCACTCCCCACCCCCACCCCACCCTCCACAGCTGCCAGGGCCTGGGACGAACTGCAAAAACAAAGAAATGCAAACCACCAGCACAGCCTCTCACTCAGCCAAGCATCTCTGATCTGCGGCCATCTCTGTAGCCTGTGGGCCTGCGATCCAGACTGCTGCCCTCCACGCAGAGACGGCAGGCTGAGACACACCCCAGCACCAAGCCCTTCCCCTCAGGCTCCCTTCTCCCTGTAAAGGGCTCCAGTGACACTCTAGCTGTCCCCACTGGGCCTAGGACAGGCCTCCTCTTTGTCCCTCACTGTCCCAACATTTATTCTTCTCAGCCTGAAGCACAACACACATACACACACACACACACACACACACACACACACACACACACACTTGTGGTATCAAAAGTGCTGACCTCAGAAGATGCACCTCTGAGGACAGGAAGGAATAAGCAGGGCCAGGGTCCAGGAAGGACCACGCCAGGGCGAGGACCCCTGCCCCACTCCATGCACAAAGGAGCCCGGCCATGAGGCAGACAGGAAGCCTGTGGGCCAGGGTCTGGGGAGTGAGCAGCAGGTGGAGAGAGCTGATGTCCCGGGAGCAGCCAGGGCTTGGGGTTCAGGGCTTGGGCAACACTGAAGGTTCAAGCTACGCTCTGTACCTTGGGGAACCCCAGGGGTTGAAAGCAGAGCAGGGGCCAGGACAGGTTAGGTCTGCAGTGTTGCACCTCAGCAGGCTTCACGGACTGTGCACTGCCACTTAGCCAGGGACACAGCCCTGCCCCCAAAGGCGGCTCCCTCCTGTGCAGCTGTGGGCAGGAGGGTGGCCCAGCTGACTTTCCCCCACTCCAGCTACCACTGGGCAAGAGAACCTTCCATGCCAACACTCCATGCCAGCACTTCCATGCCACACAGCAGTTGTGTCCTGGATGGGCCATCCATGGTGCCAACCATCTGGGCTGGCAGAGCAGCTGTGCAATTCCTGGAAGCCCAGCAAGGGGCCCTTGGGTGACAGCTTGGGTGCTGCTGCCTCAGGGGAAGGTTCTCAGGCTGCCAGGAAGATCGGCCCAGCTTGCAGACCAAAGCCAGCAAGCAGGTCAAGTGGCCCTGACACGTCACTGGGCACAGAGGCGGCGAGCAGACTGTAGTGCACAGTGGGCCTGGGGCCTCCAACGCCAGCCCCCTCAGCCGTGTCCTGTGGGTGTCAGGCAGCACGGACCCTGCCCATGTGCCCTCGGCCTGAACAGAGACTTTCGTGGGCATTCTCCTCAGAGCCTGCAATGGGACTGGGGGGCAGCTGCAGACATCTGAGTGGCAGGATCTTGTTCATGACAAAGGGGAGAAAGAACCTTACTTTGTAAACCAAGGAATATTTACTTACCTTCCAGCCAGGGCTGGCAGGATGGTCCTGCCAAGCCCACTCACTGGTGACAGGAGCCTCCGTGTCAATGTGAAACCACTGTGTGACAACCCCACCCCTGCCTCAAGACTCCCCAGATGGACTCGGGCAGCAGAGCTCTGAGAAAGACCTCAGGAGCTGCCCACTCATGGGAGAGGGGCAGATGCCCCACACTGCCCACCCAGGCAGGAGTCCAGGGAGGGAGACCTTTGGCCACTGCCCAAAGCCTGGAAGCCAGCATGACCTGCAGGTCGCCGAGCGCCCTGCCAGGCTGGAACCTTCCTGAAATGATTCGTCTCTTTCCCCAGCAATGCCGAGGTGAAGGTGCTGTGGGAAACGGGGTTGCACTGCCCCCCAAGACTGTTTTCTAGCTCTGGCCGCAGACCCTGCCTGGGATCCACACAGGTCTTCTCCTGGGCCCCCGTCTGCCAATAATTAATGCAGTTTTTTCCCCTGATTGACAACAAGCACAACACCAAAACAGTCAACTATTTTTATCTCTGGATTAATCACAAAAAGGCTAACGCTTCCACCTTCCTTGTGATTAAAAATTAGGAGACCGAACTCTATCGTGGTTCAGGATAATAACCAATCCTGGGAGGGAAGCACATGAAAAATGCATCTCTTGGGCTGCTCCGTGCTCCCCCCCTCCCCTCAGCCCCTCTCTCGGCCCAGTCTGAATGCAGAGGGAATGACTCGCACCCTTCCTCCCATCTGAGCTACAGCTGCAGGAGTGACTGCTGATTGCTATTCAGCCGGCTGGTCCCCCAGACACCCTCCCTCCTCACCCCTCCCCACCCCATCCACCCAGCCCCCACCCGCACCCCTTCCTCCCCCCATCTGGTGTGCGGTGAGGCGAAGCCAATCAATAATGCATGGCTACATGAATAACCAGCATGATAACCACTTATTTGGGAAGATGTAATCAGGACCCATTCTGAGGGTGGATGTTTGTGTGTGTGAACGTGTGTGCGCGTGCCTGAGAGCTCCCACAACACAGCCCCACTCCATTCTCCCCCAGTTTGCACTCCTGCTAATCTAATATCCCCCAAACACAATACAGAGAAGCCAGGATGGGCTCAGGCCTCACACACAGGTTTTTGGAAAACTCTTTGCCCCCAGCTGCAATGCCATGATCACTGTGGAAGCAGTGCTGTGTACCTGGGCAAAAGTCCAGAAAAGGTTGGTTCCCTTGGGGATCCAGCAGGGAGCCTTTAAAAGTCCTGAGGCCCAGGGCTCACCCACATTCAGAGACTGGGACTGAGTGGGTCAGGTGCACTCTGGCAGCAGGACTTTGGGAAGCTCCCCAGAAGAGGGTCACAGCTAGCTGAGGCCCTCAGCCCAAACATCACCTCCTCTGTGGGGCCTCTTGGTTCTGCCTGGGGGCTGCCAAGGAGAAGAGTGGACCAAGTGATCCCCCACCCTGAGGCTGCAGTGTTCTCCACAGCTCAGGTGCCCGAGGAAGGCTGGCAGGGAATGGGAGACAGCACCACACCCCATCTCTCTTGGCAAAATCACCGCTCATCAGACTCTAGCCACACCCCATCATGGAGAGGAAGCCCCAGTCCGCCCCACTGGGATAAGAATCTCCACTATGGTATAGCCTTTGCTTCTCCAGACTGCTGTGAGGATTAAATCAGGCGGCAGGCGTGACTTGGGTTCTCAAGTCCATGTTTTATTAAAGTGATGGCTAGCCTTTGTGACCTCTCCGTGAGACCCACCCAACCCGCCACCCTCAGGAGGGCTACCCGCCTGACCCCTCTGCTCCTCTCCTACAGTGCCACCCGACGACCCCGTCATCCTGGGGGGACCTGTGATCAGCCTGCGGGCCGGGGACCCCCTCAACCTCACCTGTCATGCAGACAACGCCAAGCCTGCGGCCTCCATCATCTGGCTGCGCAAGGGCGAGGTCATCAACGGGGCCACCTACTCCAAGGTGAGTCAGTCAGGGGGTAGCCGCTTGGTCTCTCTGTAGGGCTCCTCTGTCCGGGCCTGGTGTTTCTGTGTCTCAGCATCCTTTGTCACTTTTCACCTGTGTCACTTTGGCTCCCACCAGAGTCTTCCTCTCTGCCTTAGGGTAACTGCCAGACAAGGTGAAAAACTACCGAACAGGCTGTGACCACAGGAGGAGATTCAGGGATGGATAAAATACAGGAAACTGAGCTGAGTGTGGTGCAACACACCTGTAATTCCAGTATTTGGGATCCTGAGGCAGGAGGATTTTTATGAGATCAAGACCATTCTGGGCTACATAGGAAGATTCTGTCTCAAAAAAAAAAAAAAAAAAAAAAAAAAACCAGGATGCCGCTATGATCTGAATTCACTGTGTCCTCCCAAAACTCACAAATTAAAATTGTAGCACCCACTGGAATTGGTATTAGGAGGTAGAGTCTTGGACTGGTGATGGGATCATGAGGGTGGGGCCCTTATCAATGGATTAGTGTCCTTTGAAAGACACCAAGGAAGACCCCTTGCCCTTCCAGCATGTGAGGAAGCAGTGAGAAGGTGGTCATTTACACACCAGGTTTCTGGTTCCTACTCCATGGTGGTACCCTGACCCTGGACTTCCAGGCCTCCAGAACTGGAGAAATAATTTTCTGTGGAGTATAAGCCACCACTTTATAGTATCTTAGAATAGCAACCTGAATAAACTAAGACAGATGCCTAATTAATTTGACTTTCAGAAAAACACAAGGTACACTTTTAGTGTAAGTATGTCCTAAATATTGCATGGAATGTATTAACAGACCACACTTACCCTAAAAAAATTGTGCATTGTCTGAAACTCAGACTTAACTGGGCGACCTGTGTTCCCATTTGCTATACTGGGCCTTCGAACAGCAGCCAAGTGAGACTTGTTACGTTCTGCTGTGTCCTGATCCCTGACTCAGGGGCCAGGGAGTCAGAAATCCAGCCCACAGTCTCTCACGTGCCCTGTGTCCTGCTGAGCGCTTCCCTGATTCACACATGACGCCATGGCAGTCCCACCAGGTCTGGACTGCAGCCCCCTGACCCCCAGGTCTGTTCTTGTCTGTCCACTCCAAGGATAGCTGCGGACAGATGGGCAGGCGCCCTGTGAGCCCAGAGGAATCCAGAGCCCCAGCTCTGTCCTCCAGTCCCTCTGTGGCCTTAGGGGGTGGAGAGGGACACAAGCGAGCTTCTCCCAGTCCCCACCCACCACTGGCTCCTGGCTCATGGTACTGGAAAGAGAAGAAAGGCCTTGGCCATCTGCAGAGGATGTGAGGAAGCCTGCCCTGCTCCAAGGGCGTGCCCTTCCTGTCCGACCCAACTACCCTGCCAAGGGGTCAGCCTATCAAAGCTTGGCCACCACCCAGAGCCCAGGGCAGATCCCAGGACAAATGCCTTCCCTCAGGCACGGGTTCAGCAGGGTGTGCTGCCTTGTGGGAGATAAATCAATTCACGGCCTGGGCAGGAGCCACGCCATGACACTGTAAAATGTAAAATTGCCCAGGGGGATAGAGAGGATTGGAGGCGTGTCCTCCAGTCCTTCAAGCTGGACCAGCTGGCCCCTACCGGACTTTGTGTCCTGGACCCTCCTGAGATGAGCAAGGCAGTGTCACCCAGTGGGACCAGTCCCAAGACCTCCTGGAGCCAGCAGACATCCCCGTCCACATAGTGCAGTTTCCTCTGGAGCCTGGTGCCACACCGGGAGGGGGCCACTCTCCCCAGGGACCCCAACCTCACCCAGGTCAGATTCCCATGGAGGCAATGGCATGGGAGCACTTCTGCCCTGCACTGGCTTTCTTCCTTGGGGAAATGAAAGGTTGGGATCAAATGTCCTGGAGAGATGCTCCCGCTCCAGCAAACTGGGCAGACTGCACACCTATAGGCAGGAGCACTGAGAAGGGTGGGGTCCACGGGGCCCCCTGGAGTGGCCTTAAAGGCTGTCAGAACCCCCTCAGGCCTCTTTCCCAGGGGCTTGGCCAAGCAAGGGTCCCTGCCACCCCAGGTCAGAAAGGACCATTATGAAAGACAGCACTTCCCACTGATTCCCAAAGACACAGCCGCCCCAGATGGGTAAACATGAGGAAGGGCTGGGGCATCCACAGCCCAGGGAGAGGAGAAGGTGAGAGTATGTATGCGTACACACACAGCCAGGCAAGTCCTGAGGTCCCCCAGACAGACCCCTGGGGCAGCCTTGGTGGCCTTGGAGTCTGAAGCCCTGGTACTTGTAATGCGGTGGGCAGGGAAGCCCAGGGCTCAGAATCTGAGTGTTGAACTCGAATCCTGGCTCCACTACATTCTTTCTGAGACCTAACATTATCACCCCTGGGGTCCCCATGGGAACAACAGCAGCACCTGGGGAAAGGGTGATTGTGAAGAATGAGCCGGAAACAAGTCTGGCAGAGTGGGTGCAAAGCAAACACAGCCATTAGGACTGTGACCTGTCACCCACTGGCCCCTCACTGGCCTTCCGAATTTCTGAGAAGCTGTGTTGATGTCAGAGTGGAACAGGCCCTGGAGTCCTGTATACCAGGGTTCAAACCCAGGCTCCATTTCCCATCACGTTGGCTTGATCTCTCTGCCTCAGCTTTCTCAGCTGCATGTTGGGGAGGATAATCAGGGACACCTGCTGGGATTGCAGAAGGACTGCCAGGAAGGTATGCATGGAAGGGGCCTTTTGAGGAGTACAGCAAGAGGTGCGGGCTCTAGACATGTGTGCTAGTGTTACCAGCTCCCTCCCCCAGACCCCTGCCTGTCCCAACCCCTGTTCCTCCTCCAAAGTCTAAAACCCACAGCTGGGATGGTTTCAAAGCCAACCCACAGCTGGGGCGGCTTCAGAGTCTGTGGATTACTGCTCAGCCTGGAGAAGCAGAGTGACTTCCACCATGTGACTCCACCACGTGGCCAGCAGCACAAAGATGAGCCTCCCACCTGCCAGACACTAGGCCCCCTCCTGACAAACGACAGCAAGAGGACATGTCCTCAGACCCTGGGCCCGCACAAGCCAGCCCTGTGCCTCCTGCTGGCCTGGATGCTAGGCTGAGCCTCATAGCTAGCCAGGACCTTTGGCACTGCCTCCAGTTCTGGGAGTGTCTGGCTGCCTCTTCCCATTTGTCTTCCTGGACACCCAGATCCAGGCATCTGGGGACAGCTGGGGACAGCCAGTCTCCTCATTCTTCCTCCTTCTCCAGGCCTGATACCAGAATAGAAGTCACATGGCATTCGTCTGGAAACACCAGGAAAGGCAGGCAGGGAAGAGTGCAGGCTGAGCCTGGAGCAAACCTCCCCAGCCTGGCCCAGGAGCAGACTTCTTGCCCACCTGGTGGGTGGGGCTTTGGGGAGGAGGGAGGCCTTGACCCTGCTGTGCCGGAGCCCGGAGCCCAGCAGGCTGGCTTGATCTTGGGAGGCACCACCGTCCAGCCCTGGCCCTGCTTGTCTGTCTTCTCCAGCCTCAGGCTGCCTGTCTGCTGAAGGGGCACCAACTACCCTCCACCAGCCTCATTTCAGCTCATGCTGAGAGCAGCTCAGGGATTCTGCTCAGGAAAAGGATAAGGGCTGGCATCCCCTGGGCCCTCAGCCTTCACCACGCACCCCTTCCAGAGCTCTACCCAGCTCCGATGGTGCGGCAGTCACCCACCCTGCCCTTCTCGGCGACCCTAGGCCGCAAGGCTGAATGCAGGGTCTGGGGCACATGACACTGCGGTCCTATGCTTTCCCCATGTGAAGCTTATTCAGTCCAGGTGACCACAGGCCTACCTGATCCCCAAGCAGCATTAAAAAAAGGGAAGCAGAGGAATGGGGGGGATGGCACAGCAGGTGGGGGAGGTGATTGAGGAGGAAGAAAAGAGACAGCCCTGTTGCCAGGCAATCAGGCCTGCTCAAGGCCTCTCCAGGCTGTTTGCATAGCAATGAGGTTCCCATATTTAGCAGCAGGGTTAGGGCACCCACGCTGCATTTCCTCTGGGTCCCTGGCTCCCAACCGCAGGCCAAGGCACAGCTCTGAAAACAACAGAGTCGCTCACACCCTGCCTGGGGCAACTGGCCCAGCACCCACTGTCCCCACTGCAGTCCAGCCTCCCAGGCCACTGCTGGGAAAATCAGGAGATAAATGTGGGGTCACTGAGGGGAGGGTGCATAGACAGGAAGCAGCTCCAGAGCTAGCACTAAGTCAGTGGAGCAGCCCAGGAAGGGGAAGAGAGCCAAGGCCCAGAACTCCCACGAGCAGGAGCAGGCACTGCCAACCTCTGAGAAATGTGCTTGGCACGCTCGTGCTGGATGCACAACGCATTTACGGTGCACTGCACGTATGCCCTGGTGCATATCTGCAAACACAGGAACATCGCCATGGCAGCAAGGGAACAGCCTGGACCCTGGGAGGCTGGGCCCGGAGTCCAGGGAAGCGGTGAGTGGTGGCTCCAGAAGCTAGCGACCTGCCATAAGGAATCCACTTCCTCCCAGAGCTGATCTGCGTGCTAGGAAAGCTTTCAGAAGCTGGAGGCGGGACCTGAGTGCCTGCAGTGAATCCCCAGAGCCCAGCACAGTGAGGAAAAGACGGAGGAGAAGGGTGCAGGGTTGGGAGAGCCAAGGAGCAGGGCTGTGACATGAATCAGCAAATGACAGAAAGTTTTACCTGGGCTGGCACCTTCAAGGCCACCAAGTCCCAAAGTTTCATTTGCATATGAGAAAATAGTTATAAAAGGGAGGTTGAACAGAAGAAAGAGGAAGAAAGGAGAGGTGAGAAGACCTGGGAGAGATGAAGGGAAAAGAAAACCCGGGCTTAGATGGGCCACCTCACCACTTTTTCAGGCCCGTCTCCATCTCCATCTCCGAGGATCCCTCCTGCCACCCCTCAGACTTCCTCCAGCCTTGAGCAACCTGGACCTTTCCCCCTTCCCTGGGGGAGAGCTGGGGTCCGGCCCTCAACCCTGGGCAGGGGACACTCTGGGGCTCTGGCTCGCTCCTCATTTTTTCCCCTTTGTTTAATGAACACATTTCCCTTTCTCTCTAATTAGGTGGAACAAACAAGTTGAACTAGAATTTTTATTTCCCAGAAAAGCACCCGCCCAGACACAGTAAATATGTCATTAATCATCATTCAGAGGCAGAGGAGCAGGCTGGGCTGGGGAGGAGGGGAGGCGGGCTAATGAGAGCCAGGCCTCCCTGATGCTCCCCTCTGCACCCACAGGCCTCCCAACACCCAGCCCTGATCCAGCCATCCTCGTGGGGCTCCTAGGCAGAGTCAAATTGATGTTAGGGTCCCTTATTTGCACCTCAGAAAAGTAAAGAAAAGAAGATGGGAGAACAATGTCGGCCCCTCCTCTCTTTCCCTCCACTACCCTGAGGTCGTATTTTCATCCAGGAAATTGTTTCTTATTAGCACTTGGCTATTTATAGTCCTAGTGAGTTCTGCTGAACTGTCCTGAGCCAGAACAGTCATCAGTGCCGGCTGAGCTCCCTCTGACCAGCTTGCTTTTGGGGGCCTCCACTGGAGCACCCTGTCCCAAAAGCTGACCTGAAGACTCTACCCTGTAGGACCACGGGGACTGGCTGCATCCCTCTCCCCAGCTCATCAGCCCAGGATGGGGCCAGGACCACACCTCCCAGGAAAGGTAGCACAGGGATGCCTCCAGCCTGGAGATCACCCCAAGGGATGCAGTAGAAAGTCGGGGGCCCTGGGCTCTCTCAGCCTAACAGCAGCATGCCCTGAGCTACATGGAGGTGGAGACTCAGGCCAGCTGCTTCTAGTCCCAGAGGCTGCAAACCTTGGCCCCAGATTGAGAGGGGCCTTGCTGAAATGCTGGCCCAAAGGACAGGTTCTAGCAAGCTGCTACTGACTGGCTCGGTAAATGGCCCCTAAGGTACATGGGTACTGAGTTCCCACTTGCAAGGTATAGCTCACAATCACTGCCTCCGGTGTCTCAGGGAGACAGGACAGAAGGTCATACACAGAGGTCCCCCAACTGTCAATGCACGTCCAGCTCTGCCCAGGAAGTTCTTGGCTTCTTTTGAACTCTGTTTTCTCTTGCAAAACAGAGATAATGCTCCTTTATTTCTGGGCCCTTGAGCAAATTGAAGAGAATGCCACTATTGTTTTATGGGCAGTCTGGATCCAGTGGAGCTGTCTAGTTCCTGGCTACCATCCTGGAAAAGTAAGACGCATCAAGGCATCATGCTCCTACCCCTGGGTGAAGCCTCTGTCCAGACTGGACAGCTCTGAAGCTGAATTGAGTTCAGTCCTTGCCGAATGTCCCTCCCGTCCAGCACACCCACCCAGGCTTGTTCCTTCTTCCTTAAGGACCCCCAAACTGCTGGGGAAGAAGCTGGAAGGGGCACAAGGGAGGAGAGGGGTAGTGGCTGTAACGGGGAACCAGCTATAGGAGAGTATTGGGGCCCAATAGGAAAAGGCAGAAAAGAGGAGAGCGCTGGCCTCAGAGCGCGTGTCATCTGCTCCTTTTGAAAGGCCGCCTGTCAGTGAATGCAGGGCCCTCCCTGAATCCAGGGTGATCTCATCTCTAAATCCTCCACCCATTAATAATGGCTCCTCCGCAGAGATCCTGCTTTCAGGGAAGGCCGCATTCCAAGGTTCTAGGTAGACTCGGGGGACATTGTTCAACCCTCCAGAGCCCAGGTGCTTCTGTTACCATCAGCTGGAAGTGTGAGTGTGGTCACATGCTGTCCTTTCTCGGTCTCACTTGTTTCCTTCCCTATGCAATGGAAGACAACAGCGTCCTCCTGCCGTAGCTGGGTGGAGCCTCCCACCAGATTGAGAAGTGGGATGAGGTGAAGCCTTGCGAGGGTTTACTCTGAACAGTAATGAAAGAGTGGGTGCTCATCCATTCTACCCCACCCCACCCCAGAACTATTGTCACCTCCATCCCCCTCACTGCACCCTCTTCTGCAGACTATCACTGCTCAGGAGTGGCAGACCCACCTGTTCCAGACCACCCCCTTCCTCCTGCAGACCCGGTGGATCACCCCAGCACCAGAGGCAGGATGGATGGATGTTCAGTTCATTTCTACAAAGGACCCAGCAAAGCATGGTTTCCATTAGGCCCAGCATGGGTGCTTTTGTTATTCTGACTTACATGTCCAGGTTGATTTTCAAACATGATAGCAATCTTTCTGGTTCCTTTTTTCTTCCACAGCCCAGAACCGATCCAGAGCAGGAAGCCAAGGGTAGCCCCCAGCTCTAGTGGAGACAGACACCCTGCATCTCCTGAGCTAATCCCCCAGCCCCATCCCACACATACACTCTCTCTATGTCTGCTCTCTGCTCTTCTTGAAGCTGGGGCCTATCCTCTACCCAGGCCAGCCCAGCCCAGTGACATGAGCCCTTCTGTCCCTTCTTACCCTCCAGACCCTGCTCCGTGATGGTAAGAGAGAAAGCATCGTCAGCACCCTCTTCATCTCCCCTGGAGACGTGGAGAATGGGCAGAGCATCGTGTGCCGTGCCACCAACAAAGCCATCCCTGGAGGGAAGGAGACCTCAGTCACCATCGACATCCAGCGTGAGTGCCATCAGCCCGCCAGGCTGGCCAGGCCCAGTGTGGGAACCGATTGGCAGCCCCACCATGGTCCAGGCCCTCTGAAGACAGGGTGGTGCACACAGCAATGTGGGGTGGTCACTCTGTATCTGAGCACAAAGGACCATCTTGTCCTTCATACCATCATTGCAAGCACAAAGTGCCTTTGCAAAGGATAATTTCACATCACACCTCAAGGCTTTTCTTTTTAATTAATTAATTTATTTATTTTGGTCTTTTTCTTTTTTATCGGTACCGGGGATCGAACTCACGACTGCCTGCTTGCAAGGCAGGCGCTTATGCTGCTGAGCTAAATCCCCAGCCCCCAATGCTTTTAGATGTAGAGATTTCCTACTGGTCAGCACAGTCAGTCGCCGGCCCTGCTGCTGGAGAGAAAGCCAGGGTGTAGACACTGAGATATGAAAGGTCCTAGAACTCCAGAATATGCCCTGGAAAAGGTCTATAAGGAAGAGAAAGAGTAAGTGTACAGTCAGCCTATACTCTGCAGGCATCATCTTATTTAATCTGTTTGGAGGAGGTGTGACCATTTAGGGTAACTGAGGCACCAAAAGGTTAATTAACTTGCCCATGGCCACAGAGGTTTCAAGCCCAGGCAGGTTCACTTTCCAGCATCTACCACAGTAACCCTCACTGTCCTCACACCAGCTGAGTCCCCGCAGGTGTCAGATGTGATGGTTAATACTGACAACAGCGAGACTATGAAGCTCGGCCAGCGTCACATTCCAGAAGCCACCTAAAGGAGTCTCCCGAGGTCCCCTAAAAGTCTCCCTCTGTGCTTGTCATCCCTCAGGAACCAAAAAGAGCTCAACAAGGCCATCCCAGCAGCCTGCCTACCAAGAAAGGATTAGTTTAGGTTTGAAGTACCAGACCTCAAAAGTGGACTTTTCCCCCTCGAATGTCCTTCCCTGCCATAGATTGTGATGTCACTGCATGCTGGTGGCCCCTTGGTCATAGGCTGAGTGGCAAGCTGGAGCTGAGGCTGGTGTACACGTCCCACTCACCATTTTACTCTTTTAAAGCTAATGCACTTAAAAACACCTTCTAACAGCCCTGGCTCATCTGAGGCTTCTGAGATCTCCATGGCCTGCCAAGGAGCCAGAGTCTACAGGAGCGGTGTCTTAGGGACTCACTGGGGACAGACAGCACAAATGCCCAGAACCCTGGCAGAAACCACTCAGATCCCAGAGGGAGGAAGAAGGGAACGTGAGCATCCTCTGGGTTCCAGTACCCTGGCACAGTGGTAGAGCTCTTGGGAACGCTCTGCCTTCACCGTCTCTCTACTGGCTGCGACAGCCCCCCTTACCTGCTCCCACGTAGCCAGGGCTCCTTGCACTCCTCAGTCAGTGAGAGCCAGGAGGGAACCAAGGGTCTAAAATTTAAGGAGAGGCTCCCTCTGGCAGGTCATAGCATAGGGTGAGTCCCAACAGGGAGGCCCTCCTTAAATTCTGCACCCTGGGCTCCTCCCTCCACTGGCCCCAGTCTGGCCTAGTCCTCAGGACCATCTGCTCTGTCCAGGTGAACAGCTGTGGTACAGAGCAGAGGTTCAGCCCTGGAGAAGAGCCAGGATGCTGTTGAGCCAGAACAGCGCCACACCTGTGAGCTGAGCATGTGTCAGCTTGTCATTTCCCCCTGGGAACTCTTCTTCCTCTGATTTTATCAATGATGTCCAAGGTCTCTTCCTGCTTTAGGGCTGAGGACTTTCCCCAGACACATGCCAGGTCTGGAGGAGCAAGGGCAGGAGACACAAGGCATCAAAACCCCTACTTCCGGGCTGCAATTCATAGCCACTGTGCTACCGGCCCCCCGCCGTCCTCTTGCCTTCACCCTCTCCCCAGCCTGGACAGGAGCCATGCCAGCTACAGAATCCTGCTCTAAAGAAATGACCTGGTTGGTTCTCCTATGACAACAACCATAGCCCTGGCAGGAAAGCATGAGAATAAGCAGTGTTTCTGCTCCAGCTCATTATCTGTCACCCAAAAGATATTTCCCAGGGACAAGGAAATCATCATCACACAAAGACATGCTCTAGAATCAGTCCAGCAAGAGGACCCACTCACTGGCTGTATCAGTGATACGGTCTACACAGAGGCCCAGGTCTCTGGGCCCAGCCTGGCATTCTTTCCCATGTCAGCTGGGGACATGGCAATGTGACCAGAGTGAGGCTTAGGACCCAGGTGCCCGGTTTTCTAGACGGACCATCCTAGGCGGTTCAGCACCATGGTGGCGGGCAGGCATTCTTCCTGGCCTGAACTCTGGCTCCACCTCTCACTGGGTGAGGTAGACCCGATGGGTTCATTGCTATGGGCCTCCATGTCTGCATCTTTGCACAGCAGGCTTCATGCTAACCTCCTAAGTTTGCCTTGAGGTCAAAATGAAACCATTCATGTCAACCCCCAGCACTGTACCTGACTCATTACCAGTGTCAGGTCTACTCCCAGGGGTGTGGCAGTGACTCCCAGGGGTGTAGCAGTGTCTCTCAGTGCCCTCCATCCCCCAGGGTAGATGCTTCCCCAGACAGATGGTGTCTAGATGTGCCTGCCCAGCCAAGGCACAGCCTCCGGTCATGCCTCTCGATTCCTGCCTCTCGATTCCTGCTCCCTCCTCCTCTGTTGTTCATTCCATAAGCATCCAACTGTTTGCCGAGAACACCACGGTGCGGATCTGGACCGTCTTTGCAAACCTGCTCATTTTCTCAGTCAACCGAGAAGCATCCGAACTCAGCAAAATCACATTTGCTGTTTGTTTCCCTTGGTCTTTCTATGTTACCCAACGGAAGACAAAGGCTCCAGATTGAGTAATGGGAGAGAAAGCTTACCACCCACGAAGCCTCCCCACATCTGGAGTCTGTGTCCAGCTGCCAAGTTTCCAATGGATGTGCTATGAAATCACTGAGTCATGAAGTTTCTCTCTTTCCCTCCCTCTGTAGTATTTCCCCTGAAAATGCACGCACACACACATGCACACACACATACACACGCGTGCAGGTTGCTGATGGAAACACTAACAGACTCTCGGCTGTAACATCTGTTCAATGTGATCTCAGTTCCACCAGCTACATCAAAGCTGCCCTCCTGCAAGTTATGCAGCCGACATCACAAGTGGGATTAAAATCATGTTTAATAGTTGGATATGACATAAACTATTTATACCGCTGGAGCTTGGCAGACTCCTGAAAATCCATACCCTGAGCATCCAGAGGAGGTCGGGTGGAGAGGGGACGGGTGTGTGTCTGAGGCTGGGGCAGGGGTGCAGATGAAACAGGTGAGTGGGGTCCTTCTGGAGCCTGTTCTCAGGAGGCCCTCAGGGACAGGCTGGGGACTGAGAGAAGAGAACTCTCCACAGTGTAGGGGGAATGGCAATGGAAGTGGCAGGTGGATTAGGAAGCACCAGCAGCGGGAAGGGTTACTGGCAGCCATGCACTCCCTTCTCCCTGCCTCCTGAGGGCTCCCCACTTTGTAAGGGACACTCAGGTAAGGGGGGACCACAAGGAACTTCCCCCAATTCTGTTGCACTAGTCCCGATCCTACTAAGCTGACACCACCACTTCCTGAAATAAAAATCCCGGATTCCACAGGCCAGCTATGCCCTGGGCTCCAGGTGGCAGTTACCAAACTCCTGTGCCTCCAGACGTGTCTCCACAGTGAGATGAAAGCTCCGCCCTGGGCTCGGAGGATGCCCAGCTTCACTGGCCAGCCCTGCGAGGCAGAGGGCTGGGCCCATGCCTTGGCCTTCCCTGGAATCTGGGGACAGCCTTCCCTTCCCTAGGATTGGGAAGCAGATAGCTCTTCTGGGGGATGGCAGAAGAGTTCTCGTAGCTATTCTTTGCTCTATACATCTCATGAGCTTTTGATTTGTGCTTTAAAAGCCAAGATTGAACTGCTCAAAATACTCATCTGTGCCTGTCAGCTTTCTACCACTATAGCACATAGCTGAAAGAATGAACTTAGGTGAGAAGAAAGGTTTATTTAGGCTCCTGGGTTCAGCGAGCCCAATCCCTTGGGCTGTGGTTAGACAGCACATCAGGGCAGGAGAGCAGCTGGGAGGGAGAAAAAGAGGAAGAAGAAAAGACTGGGGTCCTACTAATCCCTTCAAAGACACAACCCCACTGGCCCCCACAGCTCTCATCTCTCAATGGCTGCACCCCTCCCCACAAAAGCACCTCGGTTTGACCAAGCCTGTGACACACAGACCTTTGGGGATATATGAGATCCAAACTCTAGCACCATCACAGCCCCATGGCGCTCCATGAAAGGGGAGCAGGCAGGCTCCTCCAGCAACGATGCATCCTGGATCTATAGCCTGGGGTACAGGTGGAGAGAGCGGGCTCCCTAGCACAGGCAGCCACTTGCTGCTCACTGGGGTCCTCAGATACCAGCCCAGCCCAGTGGCATCTCCTGCACAGGCAGAAAGTTCTGGCAGATCCGGTGCACAGAGCGGGCACCCAGAGGTCACATGGTCTTGCCTCCAGGCTGGGGCACTGCTGGGTCTCAGAGCCCCACCTGCAGACTCAGCCAAGACCCCAGACCCTTGCTCCCTGTGGGGTCTCTCATGAAGTCTCAGAGGGGCCGGGGTTTTCCTTAACGCCTCTGAGAAACCAGTAGTGATTTTTCTCCAGAGAACCACACACCTAGAAAGGCCTCAAAGCCTTCCAGCAATTGGCTTTATTTGTTGGTGGCCACCAGCCCAGAAGATGCAGCCCAGGGTCCCCAAGCTAGGCCAAGGGGCCCTGCTGTCCTTGAGCTCAGCCCAGAGCTGAACTCCAGCCAGGCTTGCAGTCTGCAACAAGGGAGAATGACCTGCAGCCATTGTCCCCTTGAGCCTGGAATGCGGCTGCCTGGGGCCACCAGGGCCTATGAACTGCCAGTGCCCAGCAGCAGGGTGTTCCGGACTTTGGAGGAGGTCTGGAGCCAGGGGCCGTGATCAGGCAGGGCCGAGGCCGCTCCTGGGCTGATCTCTGCCTCTCTGCTGATGACCCTCTACCTGTATTCCCACCTTTCCGTCTCTTGGGGTCTGTTTCTCCTTCTCTTTTCTCTGTCCCTCAGTACTTTAGCTCTTCCCCCCAACACGCTGTCATTTTCTGTCTGTGTCCCAGGCCTCCCTTGTTCTCTTCTGCTTATCTGTCTCTGTGTGTAGGTCCTCCTCTCTCCCAGGCCTTCTGTGCAGATCTCTGCGTCCCTGGTTCCTGTCTCCCTGTCTCCACGTCTCCCCATCCCCTGACTTTCCCCCTCCTGCCATTTAGCACTTGAGAGCCTGGCTTTTCACCATGTTAGATGACAAAACAAGTCCCCGCTGCTCGGGAGCCGAAGGCCTGATGGCACCAGTAGGACTCTGCAGAGATGTTTATGCTGATGAAGGGGTGCAAATGCCACTTCCACATTACACGAGGCCCCTGAACCCTTACATGGAGAAGTCACAGACATTTCAAAGACAGAAATTCGTGCTGAAATGGGGCTGAATATCCGCTCCCCTCCCTTTCACCCCTTCCCGCCCTCGGGAGGTACTTTGTTCCACCAGAAGCTAGAAGCTGGGCAGCGCCATCCCAGGCCCTGGCAGCTGCCCTCCCTGCTGGGGTTCATTTCAGTACCAGCCCTTCAGTCCTCCAGGGCGTAGCAGAGCCTCCTGCTGAGCCCTGTCCTGCTTTGAAGTGACCTGCAGGGTGGTGGCTGCTCTGAGGGGCCCTGAGGGTTGGGATCTCTGGGTTGTACCCTCCACATCACCCAGGGGTTTCCTGTGCCATTCCTTCCCTCTTCCTGCAGACCCTCCGCTTGTCAATCTGTCGGTGGAACCACAGCCAGTGCTGGAGGACAATGTCGTCACATTCCACTGCTCCGCAAAGGCCAACCCCGCTGTCACCCAGTACCGGTGAGCATCACGGGAGGAATGGTTTATGTATCCCTTCCTTCTGAAAAGAGAGAGATGCAGGCAAAAAGCTAAAACAGACAGGAGAGTCGGTCAGTCTGTTCTCATCACTGCCCACTTCTGGGGGTCCAGTGGCATCTTTTAGATGCCTCATGGGACTCCCTGAGGCCCCAAGTCTGCCTCGACCTTCCCAAAATCCAGGCATGGGGGCAGAGCCCAGGGCTTCACCAGCGCCGTGGGCGTGGGTTATTAAGCTGCAGTCTCAGCAAGGGCCAAGGATGCTAATGGTCCCGCACCAGGAAAGTGGCCCACCAGGGGGATTGAGAAACTAGGAAGATGCGGGTCACTGGGGGCCCAGCGGGCAGAATGCAGCAAATGCACCAGAGGCAGCCATGCTCAGGTTGCAGGTCAGGACCAGCTCCTGCAGTGGAGATAATTAAGCAGCACTGCAGAGGGCACAGAGCATCTCCCGGAGGACGGAGAACATGGCAATGTTGGATGAAAAGCCATCTGACCTGCCTGATTTAATCCTTGCTTGTACTGGAGGCCGTGAGAACAGCGGACCTGGGGTCCCTTCCTGGCAGAGGGCCACTGGCTCGCAGCAGCCCTGCAGCCCAGTTAGGTCCAAGGGGCAGGTCCAGTTTGATGGGTATCTGTCCAGAAGTGTTAGAAGATGCAGAAGGAAAACCTAGCGAGACTTTTCCTCTGGACCTGCCCCTGCCAGGCATGCACTTTCCAGGCTGGGCCTCTGGCCTCTGTCCAGTCCCAGCTCTCGGCTTGTGGTCCCTCAATACCAGGAACAGTGTGTCCAGAGAACACCCCTCATGCCAGCTCCCCAAAGAGCTCTTCTCACCTCCTCACCACTCCCATATGCACCCCAGCAGACGTGCGGTTCACTCATCCTCAAGACGGTCCTCCAAATGCCCCTGGGGTCCTGGGGTGACCCAGGAATCAGAGGCTGGCCGGGCAGCAGACAGCACACCCAGCAGGCCTCTGACCATATACCTGCCTCCTGGCCACCGCAGGTTGGGCAAACACCCAGGAACCCAGGCTGGGGGGCCTGGCTTCCAACATCAAACACCCCAAAAAGATAGAATAATATGAAGAACCAGTGAGGTGGCACACACCTCTAAGGCCAGCCCTCGGGGAGAATGAGACGGGAGAATCACAGCCCACCTGGGCAGCTTAGTGACTTAGCAACCCCTACCTCAAAATAAAAATTAAAAAGCGCTGGGGTACAGCTCAGTGCAAAGACTGTGTTCAATCCCCAGTCCTGCAAAACAGGTGACCAGGGCCCTAGGGGCATTTGGGGTTGGGGTTAGGGTTAGGCAGTGGTACTAGTGGAGCTCCCTCCCTCTCTTCTCCTCCCTTTTGGCTCTGGGGACCCGGGGTGAACTGCGAGGGGCAGGGAGGGGACACTTGCAGGTGGTCACTGGTTGTTACTCCTCACCATCGCTCTGGGCCTTCTGATTACTTTGAAAATATGTCAGTGCCACTTGGGCCCCATCCGGGGCTCCACAGCTATGGGGGACCAAGCTTGGCCAAGGGCAAAGGCAAGAGCCAGGCTGTGAAGGAGGGAGGCTGCCAGGACCCTGTGCCCACCCCGCCCACTCAGCTCCTCTCTCAGCAAGGATTCATCAAGCAGCCCAGGTCTGCAAGCGCCGTCTAAATGCAGTGGTGGGACCCAAGAGGAAAAGCCTTAAGCAAATCTCATCACATAAGTACATTGATTTTTCCCAGCTGACTTTGGCGACATTAGGGAAATCTTTGTTTCTTTCCTTCCCTTTGTCTTGATGGCTTCCTCCCTGGTCCACCTAAAAAACCATAATCTCCAAAATTAAACAGGTATCACCCCACCCCTGCACCCCAAAAGAGGGCATGGCTGGGCTTGGAGGTTATCTCTTCAGCAGCCCCCAGGACCGGGTGCCCAGGGCCAGCAGCACTGGCCTGAGCCTGGCATAAGCTCTCTGTGCTCTTCCCTCTGAGGTGGCCCCCAGTAGAGCATGGACGAGGGGTCAGCACTGCCCAGATGGAGTGCAGGCTGTTTGACATCTAACCTGTCAGCTGTGACACACCAGGCCTCTTGATTCCATGATATAAATAATTCACCCTCTTACACGTGTTCAGACCAAATTAGACGTTGACTGGGGAAGGCTTAAGCTGAGCTCCTGTTCAGAGGGGCTGGGAGAGGGTGGATGCAACAGCGAGGGGCAGAAGGACACGCAGAGGGCTGCCGGCAGGAGGAGGCTCAGCTGTGGCCCTAGCAGAGTCCAGCTGCTGAGATACAGGGCTGAGGGCCCTCGTGCCTCTGCAGGGATCCCTCAGGCCTGAGGTGTGGGAGGGGAAGACAGACTGACTGGATGAGAGCAAGGGACTTCGGGGTGGGGTACCAAGGGCACCTTCGTGAAAGACCCTGTCACAGGCTCCCGAGGGTCTGGCACCAAGGCTGCCCCTGCTCATCAGCCTGGGAGGGGACAATCAGAGCGTCTCTCCTGTCCTCCTGGCACCTCTCAGGGAGGACAGCCCACACGGAGAGCCATTTCAGACTGCGTGGCCCCTCTCCCACAGTGGCCAGGTCCTCTTGTCGCCTTCCTCTCTAACTCCATCCTGGGCTGGTGCGGAGGGCACTTCAGATGCTGGAATGCTGTGTGCTCCAGGCCTTCAGGGCCCCAGCACTTCTGCTAAGTCAGGGCCGAGCCGGTGGCTTTCACAGAGCAGCCCCGACAGAGATCGAGAAGTGGGCCCATCTTCTCGGGAGGCCCAGAGGAAGGACAGGACCTGCCTCTGAGAACCAGCTCTCCCAACCGGCCTCTCTGCAGTGTCCCTCCCCAGTCCCACTCACCTCCGTAGGTTAGAAGGAAGGAGTAGGGCTGGACACAGATCCCCAGCTGCGTGTCTGGAACTGAATTACTCCACCTCAGGCAGGGGCTGTGCCTGACTATTAAGTCCGCTCATTAAATTAAAGTTAGGAACTGAAACAATCCATGAATAACTCATAATGGTTTGTTGGGAAGCTCCTTAAGCTCTCAGGGAGCTATGGTTTACTCTGCTGTTAAACTATAGTTGTTATTATTAATCGTGTTCTTAATAATTACCCGATATTAATTTGTGATAACACCCACACGGTGCCAGCCTAGGTGATCCATGGGATGCAGAGAAGTGGCCACCTTTCTGGGCTGGATGGGCCACAACCACCATGCAAGGAGCTGGGGGAGGGGAGGAGACAGGTGAAGGTAGGAACTGGACAGGTCCAGGAACAGAGAGAGGGGAGGAGAGGCAGAAGCCACAGGGACCCTCCTAGGGAAAGCAGTGACCCCAGGAAAGACTCTCAGCCCAAAACAGGCTGGACCACAGTAGAGGGAGCCCGGCTAGAGGAGCTGGGTGGAAGTTCTGTGCCTTCATGGAGGCACGGCTGTCCATGGGATTATAGCAGGGAAGCTGTAAGCTCCCCCTCCTCAGGGCTCTGTAATAAAACCCACCTTCATACACACGTGGGCACGCATATACTCAAGCCCTCACATGTGCCCCCATACATGCACGCACACACATATGCAGGTGCATCATTATGCATGTGCACACACACATGTATACCCATACATGCACACATTCACAGTGCACACACAGCCCCGCGGGCTGCAGCATTTCCTGCATACAGCAGGTGCCTGGTGGCTTGCAGCTGGGGCCTGGTGGTTTGTCCAGTGCAGTGATCACCACCCCAGGGTCAGGACCGAGCCCCAGGGTACTAATGGGCTGGGAGGGACCGAGCCTGGGGTACTGACTGGCTAAGAAGCACTTGCTGCCCACCTCCCCCATGAACCAGGCCTAACAGAACTGCAGCCTCCAAAGAACAAAGCCAGAGCAGGAAGGCAGATGCTAGGAGGAAGAAAAGTGCTATCCCTGGGGGGGGGAGGGTTGACATGCAGGGAGCCAGGGGACCCCAGGAAGGACCCACGCTGGGGGCCAGAGCCAGACACGAGTGAGCTGACCGAGTGGGAAGAGCAGGCAGAATGGGTAGCTCTGTCACCTCCCCTACATCTCACCTCACCTGGAAATTATTTTTCTCTCTGTGACAGGGCTGTGCACACACATGTGTGCGTGCAAGTGCATGCATGTAAGGGCACACCCGACATTAGACTGTGATCTCGGAGGTCAACACTCAGCCCCTTTTCCTTACATGGCCCAGGATGGGGCCCACAGTCATGTGCAGAGCAGAAGAGCCAAGCTGCCTGCTGGTGACAGTTGGGTCATTCACGGTCTGGCCAGGCAGACAGGCAACTGCCTGGGTAATCACATCGCATCCCTGCAGAATGACCCACTCGCTAGGGGCCACTGCCTGCCAGTGACCACAGCCCAAAGCCCTCTGTCACCATGACCACCTGGGTGAGGAAGACCGACTCCACCCCAGCTTCTGAGGTTGTTCCTCTTTGGAGACTTCCCCCGAGGGCCCCACAAGCCTGGCTTCCCTAAGGGATGGACAGAGGAACAGCCATGCTAGTGAGGTCCCCTAGCCCCCTGGCCTCTGTTACAGGTGGGCCAAGCGGGGCCACATCATCAAGGAGGCGTCCGGGGAGGTGTACAGGACCACCGTGGACTACACGTACTTCTCAGAGCCCGTGTCCTGCGAGGTGACCAATGCCCTGGGCAGCACCAACCTCAGCCGCACAGTGGATGTCTACTGTGAGTGCGGGTGCTGGGGAGCTCCTCCGTGCCCACTGGCACCAGGCAGCCTCTGGCTGGGCCCTGCATGCATGGCCACTCCACAGCCCAAGTGTACCACACGACACTCGGGTCACTCTTCAGAACGACCCAGCCAGGCCATGTCAGTGCGCAATGCCCCAGAAGAGTACGGTGGATGAAGTGACCTAACACAAACTGGGGTGCCAGCATGGCTGCTCTGAGGAGCTCACCCCTGGCTTGCAGACAGCAGGACCAGGCTGAGGAGAGGCAGAGGAAGCAAGCTCCCCTCTATCCTTTTTCCAAGGGCACTGATCCCGTCCTCAGGACCTCTCACCCCTTGTTCCCATCACACTGGGGTTAGTGCAGCCAAGGGTCTACACATGCAGTCCCCTCACAAGTAGAAACTTAATCCCAATACCTAGAGGAGGAGGCTGAGGCCTGCGGTGATCCAGTCCATCACGGGTCCACACATCCCACTGTCCTGTTCAGGGCATGCACGGCCCTGCACCCTTCCCCACTGAGGACCTGGTGGGGACCCGCAGAGTCAACCCGTTGCTGAGGACTCAACAGTTGTTCATGCACGCATCACCCTTTGCCGTCTCTAAAGGACTTTTACAAACTCCCTTTCACTTGCCACTGCCCCTGAGTCCGAGGCCTCCACAGTGGAGCTCCCATTTTATGGTGGAGGACTCATCCCAGACCCTGAGGTCCAGGGTTGGTCTGCCCCAGAAGGTGACCCCAAGGCCCGCTGGGCTCTCCACCCACCCCAGCACTCTGCGGGCCAGTGGTGGGGAGGTACACAGCGCTCTTCCACGAGCAACAGAGTTGTGGGAAATGGGGCCAAGGGGACTCTGGGGGCCTAGAAGGAGGCTGGAGGAAGGGGACAGACAGCCTGAGGAACCCAGCGGGTCCAGGGAAGAGCCTGAGAAAGCCTTGGCCTTGCTGCCTCCACCCTTGTCTCAGAGTCTTGGGGAAGGGGGCTGGGGGGACTCGGGTGGTTCCAGGTCAGAGCCCCAGGCTCTGCCCACCCATTGGGGTGAGGATACCTGGATGTCCCAAAGTCTGTTGGGATCCAAGTAGGAAAGGAGAAGCCAGGGTTTGGGAAGTAAAGCCAGGGCCCAGAATCGGGCCCAGAAGAGGATGGGTCAGGAGAAGGGGCACCCCGCTTACTTCTAAGTCCCGCTCCTGGACCCCTGCCCCCCCCCCCAGGGCAGGGGAATCAGCGGTAGGGAAGGAGCTGACTGGATGGAGGTGACCCAAGCACCCCGTCAGGGTCAGGGGAATGGGGAGGGGAGCAAGGAGGCTCCCGAGAGCCACCCACCCACCGGCACCTCCTTCTTGCTCCTGCCCACCACAGTCGGACCCCGGATGACCATGGAGCCCCAGTCTCTGCTTGTGGACCTGGGCTCCGATGCCGTGTTCAGCTGCGCCTGGATCGGGAACCCGTCCCTGACCATCGTGTGGATGAAGAGAGGCTCAGGCGTGGTGAGGCCCAGGGTGGGGAGGACAGCGGGCAGGGGACCCTCTCACCGTGGACCAGGGCAATCTGCAAGCCTGAGGGAAAGGCTCCCAGACAGAGGAGGGGAATCCCAGGGGCCGCTTCCCCATCTCCTGGAGCACCTCTGCCTCTGCAGTTTCCCCACCCCGAGGGGATAAGGAGAGCAGGTGGTCACCCATAGCAACGGGAGAAAGGCCTTCCTCTGGCTTTTCAACTTCCTCTCCAAAGGGATGGGAGCAGCGGCTCCTGCTCAGGAGCACAGCTACTCAGGAGGCTGAGACAGGAGGATCACAAGTGAAAGGCCTACTGAAGAGACAGCAAGACCCTGTCTCAAAATCTAAAAGAAAAAATCAAGGGCTAGGGATGTAGCGCATACAAAGATCCTGGGTTCAATCACAGCTACCACCACCACCACCAAAAAATCTCAGATAAAAGCCTTCACCGTGGTGTTAAATTTGGCTCTCTCCCTGCATTCCTTTTTTGAAATGCACAGATTCACCATGAGCTGGAGTTTGCCTGATGTCCCTGCAAGGGGTGGAACAGCAGGGGGAGCAGCAGGGGAAGAGGGATACACGGCAGGAAGTCAGCCCCAGGACACCAGCCTGTCCTGAGAGGTGTCCTCCCCTCCTTCCAAGGAGCAGGCAGCCCAGCCTCTGAGCTGAGCCAGCTCTTCACTGCCGGAGCCAGGACTTACAGGGAGATCCAGCCAGCACCCCAGGGGGTCCCAAAGACCAATAAGAAAATGCAGGCCCCAGGCCCTCCAGGCTCAGCTACAGGGCATTTCAGCCATGGCCAGGCTGGGAGAGGAGAGGCCTCAGCAGACAGGAGGAGGGCTGCATCACCTCAGGGGTCCCCAGCAGGGTCCCTGGACACCGACACCTCAGGCCTGCTCCAGGTACCTGACCACTCTGTGTCTGACCCCCACCCCACTCTCTTAGGTCCTGAGCAATGAAAAGACCCTGACCCTCAAATCCGTCCGCCAGGAGGATGCTGGGAAGTACGTGTGCAGAGCTGTGGTGCCCCGGGTGGGAGCCGGGGAGAGAGAGGTGACCCTGACTGTCAATGGTGAGCTTCCCACTGGGGTGGGCTGGGTGGAAGGGGGGACAGGAAAACCCAAGGGGCTGTCACCAGTTCTGGCCTTGCTACACCTCCAACCAGTGGCCCAGAGCAGTAGAATCTACCTCTTGGGGTCCCTATTAGAGCCCAGGCAGACAGAGGAAGAATGTGGGTGGTCTCTGGTCCATTGCTTCCTGTTTGTTATCTTCAAAAGGCTCTCAGCCACCCAGGCAAGGTGGTGTATCCCTGTAATCCCAGCACTCAGGAAGCTGAGGCAGGAGGGTCAGTGTGAGTTCAAGGCCAGCCTGAATTACACAGGGAGACCCAGCCTCAAAAAAGTGGGGGGCGGATGTCTCAGCCCTGAGAGTGGGGGCTGATGAGTTTATCCTGGCCAGGAAAAAAGAGACAAGGTCACAGGGAACCGTACCCCTCCATCTGCCCTATTCACCCACCCTGCCCCTTTCCCAGAAGGGTAAGGCCCATCTTCCTCTTCTCATAGCCAGGTTCTTTCCAATGAATTAGTGCCACTTGGCTGGGGGGACATGTCACCATCCAAAGACCAATGGGCAAGGTCCCTGGAGACAAGGGGACTGGTCTTCTTACACACAGTGACACAACCCAGGGCATTTGTGCTGAGAGCTCAGCAATAGCTGCTGTGGGCTACATCAAGGTGCAGGTGTCAGAGGGGGGCCTGGATACCTGCAGCACGGGGACTGAGCTCAGGCTAGACCGAGAAGTCACAGTGCCAGCACCGGAGTCATGGACCCATGTGGGAGGAGCCTCTAGGTGCTGGTCCCGGAGCAGGGCCTGAGATGGGGTGGGGGAGCTGCGTTCTGGAAATGAGCCTCTCCGCTGGCTTCATCTCAACCCATGGACGACGGCCTCGTCTGTTTTCCCCTTGGCTCTAAAGCAAAGCCCAGCTTGATGCCTCCCAGAATCCTCTCTGCTGTCCCCACTCCAGCTCCCCCCCACTTCGTAGTGGCAGTGCCAGGGCGAGGGTGAATCCACCCAGCCCCTACAGTATTCGCAGGCCGCCTGTCCCAGGCAGAACCCCGACTTGGGAGCCTTCCTGCCTTTCCTGTGTGTCCCCAGGATGCCGCCAATAAATTGGCACTGCAGGGCTAAAAATAACAGGGTCTGATCGCGCCTCCGTATATCCATGGCAACGCAGACTGCAGACTTTTCCTGCCGCGCCGGTGTCTGACACAGGGCTCTGCACGCCAGGCCACTGTGAACTCTGCGCCCTCCCCGCTGCCCACAAAGCGAGGCCGCTGCCATCTGCCGCCCACGGGCTGGGGCCCTCGGGCTCACGTGTACCTTCCGGGGTCCCCCGTCTGAGGCCAGTGACTGAGCAATCTTGTTTCTGGGGGAGAAAAGGTAGATAAGGAGGTGCTGACATTTTGCTGTCACTTTTGACATCCAGCCTCTCCCAGTGGAGATGTAAAGAGGTTTCTTGAGGGCAGAAGGCGTTCCACCACTGCCCAGCGGGACGGGATGCAGGCCTTGGAGGACCCTTCTCCTGGGCTGGGCTCCACAGGTTGACCCTGGGTCTTCTTCCCATGGTGTAAGCTTCCCTTCCAGCCCATCCAGCAGGGGTTCCTCTACACTGCCGGACGGAAGAGCACTGGCATTTGGAAGACAGCTAACCCGCCTGTGTCTGCGGGCCTGGCACCAAGCTAGGGGGCTGGATGAAGTGGCCCAGGGAGAGGAGACTGCCAGCCCCCAGCTGGGAGGGGACATTTGTCCCCAACCCTGAGGACAGGCAGAGGGGCAGCAAAGCTGGCGGGCAGGGGCCTGACCTGGACCGAAGGCATCTGATGTGAAAGTGGCTGGAATGAGGCCAGTCGCTGCCTGTGGACCCTGCCAGCCAAGTGCTCTAGGGAACACACCGGCACAGGTCTCAGCCGAACCGGCTCAAACCTGCTATCTACAGGGAGCGGAGGATGGCCAGGATGGCTGCCACTGGCTGACTGACTCCCAGCCACCTCCCTTTATCCTGCTTTTTGTTTCTTTTGAAGCCTATAAACAGAATGCATTTGCTGATCACTTTTGGAATCCCTTGAACCTCTAGGGAATCCCCAGTTCCAAAGACTTAGCATCACTTTGTAGCCCAGCAGCTAAACAAAGAACCATTCAGGTTCCCAACAATGGAGCCTTCACTCTTTGGGCCAAAGACCTCTCTGAGTTTGGCTTTAAAGAAGGAAAGCAGGGCTCAGCCCCACTTTAAAGCCAGCTGACCTTGGGGTTCCCAGCTCTGCAGCCCTCCTCACCCTGAGACAGTTGCATCCTCAACCCCACCGAAGCATCACCTCATCGCTCAACACTTTTTTCCCCTTGGCTGAGAGCTACTCATAGAAATGCAAATTTGTTTTAATTAAGGTGGCTAATAAACAGCAATTAGGTTTGCAGCAATTTTTGTTTTGTTCCTCAGCATAATTCTGCCCGTGCTCCAGCCAGAGCTGTTGCCCTTAGCTTTCCTTCCTCTGTGTCCTGCTGTCTAAAAGTCCCAGCTGTCCAGGCAGGGGTGGGGAAGGGAACTGGGTTTCCCACCCTACACCGCCCACAGTAACCAGGAGGTTAGCTGAGCAAATGGATAAACTCGCTGTTTCTCCTTTCCCATTTTACTGCCAGGAAAGACCTGGGTTACGTGCCAGGCAGAACTTACAGGAAAGGCCAAGAACAGGCTGCCCCGCCTGGTCAATGAGACAGGCACCCTGTCACCCATTCCCCGCTACGCACACAGACCAGATGGGGTAATATCTAATATGGAGGCCAGTTAGGGAGCTGTGATCTCACCTGGGCCGTCTGTGTATATATGTAGCAGCAAACAAGATAACCAGTGACAGGCTCTCTGGAGACACATGTGGGACTGAGGGCTATGAACACAGCAGCACCGTCTCCTTCCTGGCTGGCCTGGTGGAGGACATCCAGTTTGCTGGGCAAGGGCGCCCTCTACTGGAGACCTGAGAAATGCCCAGAGCTCCAACAGCCGGCCAAGGTGGGGTGCGGTGACATTCCTTAGGTCTGTCTTCCATCATCCTGACACCTACCCTGGTCCTTCTCAGACTCACCACCTCCTTTGTAAAACTCCCTGTCTGCCAGATAGAATTATTCTCTCTCCTCTGAAGTCGGTTAGCACTTTATCTGCACTGCTTCTATGGCATGAGTGCTCACCACCTTTTATTACAGTTATTTATGTCTTCAGGGGATTCTGACTTCGGTGCATTCACTCATGATCCCCTGAGAGCTTTACCACCAAACGTCTAATTCATCTCCAGGTCCCCTGCCTCGCGCTCTGACTTACACATACGGGGCCCCCGTAAACATTTGCTGAGTGCTTGGATCAATGAATGTGTTTCTGAGCCCACCAAGCAGGGACCTGCCAGCCAGCGACCTGCCTTTCTAGGACAGCTAACGTGATGCTGCCTCTCCAACAGGGCCCCCCATCATCTCCAGCACCCAGACGCAGCACGCCCTCCACGGTGAAAAGGGCCGGATCAAGTGCTTCATCCGGAGCACACCACCTCCCGATCGCATCGTGAGTGCTGGGGTGGGGGGAAGGAGCATCCTCAGTGCCCAGGGTCATCTCTGCCTGTAGCCAGACAGCTGGGCAGCCGATCAGTCGGTGTGCACCTCTGAGCCTCCTTTCCCTCCGTGGGGAAAAGCACACCAGCTCTGTCCCTTAAGATCACATCCTGGAGACGAAATGGCAGGCAGCCTCCTTCCCAGGAGCAGGCGGTGTCTGTGTCCGGCTCAGCTGCGGTATTAGCGATTCTAAGTCAATCCTGCATCCCAGAGCCAAGAGCAGGCAGGAGGGAAAAGAAGCGATTTCTCCCCTTTCCTGAGTTCACGGCAAAATCCTAAAGCCTGTGCAGTTTATGGCTGGCGACCCCTCCCCGTACTTCCCACGCTCCTCCTAAGCTGGAGGCTCCCCTCAGAGGTGATCACCCCATCCCTCTTCCCGCTCTCCAGACTCCATCCCTCCTGCAGAGCAGCACAGCACCTGTGCCACCTGTGCAGTGTGGTCGCCCTAGTCCCTTTCCGGGGATGCTTTTTAGGGGGTCTCGCACTAAAAGCCATCTGAAGCTGTCGGAAATTCAGCATGAACACAGAGAAAGTGAATATTTTGTAGCAATGTTGGGAACAGTAAGCCCCAGTGCCCAGGGGTAGGTGGGCCAGGTGCTGGGCAGGCTACACGCGCAAACCACTGTCCTAGAAAGCTAAGATGGTGCTATCGCTGGTACGCATGTTCTCAGCATCTGCTCCACGCACTGAAAGACACAAATTGCAAGATTGCACATGCCACGAATACCTACGCCTCCCAGAACTTTGCTTTTTAATTTTTACAAAAATGTAAATGTCACATGTGCCCATTATAAGATATTCCACTCACTTCCAAGCATTTTCACATCGTGTGTCTCTTCATAGATAGCTAACCCTAAGGTAGTGGTTTTCAAGTGGGACACTTCGGCCCCCAGAGGACATGGGCAGTACCTTGAGAGCCTTCTGGCTGTCACAGCTTGCAAGGTGCTGCTGGCATCTGGTGAGGGAAGCCAGGAGCGCTTCAGACGGTGCTGGGCAGCCCCACAGTCAGGAAGGAGCCAGGAGCCCCACTCCATGCTCACCTGGTACCTCCAGGCTCAGACCTGCCTTGCCAGGTTCCAGGATGTCCACAGAGCTGACAGAGTGACACCCATGCGGTCTTCATGGAATGACTCTGAAAACAAACCAGCCAAGCACAGCTGCACACACCTGTAATCCCAGCTACTCCGCAGGCTGAGGCAGGAGGATCACAAGATCAAGCCCAGCCTGGGCAATTTGACCCTGTCTGAAAGTGAAAAGTGCTGGGCGTGTAGCTCAGTGGTGGAGCACCTGCCTAGCATGCATGAGGCCCTGGGTTGAGTCTCTAGTAGTGCAAAAAATAATTGCACTTAAAAAAAACCCTGTACGTTATAAACAAAGATAGATGCGTTTACGTGTGAAGTCTGTGCACATGTGTGTTCATGCCTGTGATATGGGGGTACAGTCCCTCTGTGTAGGAGTGGGTGGTGGTGGCACTGAGGAGAGCCTGCTTGTGCTGACGGCAGAGCAGGGAGATGGCCCATGGTCCTGGTGTGCAGCCCCAGGGGGTCTGCTCCTAACTCTGTGCACCCCACAGGCCTGGTCCTGGAAGGAGAACGTGCTGGAGTCGGGGACATCCGGGCGCTATACGGTGGAGACGGTCAGCACGGAGGAGGGCGTCATCTCCACGCTGACCATCAGCAGCATCGTGAGGGCTGACTTCCAGACCATTTACAACTGCACAGCCTGGAACAGCTTCGGTTCTGACACTGAGATCATCCGGCTCAAGGAGCAAGGTCAGGGCAGCGTGCTGGGGGAGCTCCCAGGATGAGCCACAGGGCTCTTCCCTACCTGCCAGCTGCCTCAGACTGGCTCCCCTGAGGCAAGGGGCGCTAGCTTCCACCAGAAAGAAGGGAGAGGAGAAAACTGCACCCCACTGTGAGAGTAGTGGCTAGAGTGAGCTGGGCTGGTCACCTTGCTGAGCTGCCTGACCACAAGAAGGCCCTGGCTTCCACGCACTCCGCCCTTGGCCAATGCTCCAATGTCCACAGGGGTGTGATGACACAGAGCATCCAGTTACCCACAGGTCCTGCGGAGGGCGCCCGAGCTCAAGCTAAGGAACAGGGCTACCAGCTCCTATGGAGTTAGGGCAGCAGTGCCCAGACAATCTGCAGTCTCCACGTGGATACCTGGGCACTGAGCTCTGCTCTGGGCAGAGCAGCTGTATCTGAGGGAGAGGAGAAAGGCTCACCCCAGGGTGGCCAAGCCTGTCAGCTGCCCCAGCTCCTGGTCAGACAGATGCTGAGAAACTCAGTCTCTGCTCAGAGCTCTCTGAACAGATTTTGGGGGCCAACAGCCCCTCAGGAACACCAAGAGATGGTCCCCCAAAAGCTCCATGTGCAGCCAGCAGCTCTGGGTCTTGAAGTGGACTGCAGACACTGCCCCTGGCCAGCCAGTACTCAGCCAGGAAGAAGCAGGGATGGAGCTCAGCCAGGCCTGGGCCCTTGGGCCAGATTCTGGGCCAGGCAGGGGGTCCCAGCCCAGCCCCTTAGCTCACAATGATCACACCTAGGGGTCCCAGGTCCCAGGTCTCCTAACACCTCTTCCCTGATAGGAGCCGCTTTGCATAACGCTTTGCACATGACTTGCCTAACACCATTCACACATCATTGAACCCTCCTGGCCCTGTTGCTTGCCCTCCTGTCTTCCCCTCAGTGCCCCCACCCTGTACCCTCCCCTTGGTGTTCGCACCCCTCCAAACCCCCTCCCAGACTTAACTTCTGTCTGTTCCCCTGCTCTGGGGTCTCCTAGTCAGTAGGAATAAACCCCAAATTCCGCAGGGAGAGCCTGGGTCTACGGGGCGGTCCCACAGACAGGACGCACCTGCCCCAGCCCCTCCAGGGGTTAGATCCCCCATCTGCCCCGCCCTGGCCAGCCAGGCCCCGGCTGTGGACGCTTGCTTTATTTCCAAACAGGTTCGGAAATGAAGTCGGGAGCCGGGCTGGAAGCAGGTACGAAAGGAGACCATGAGAACCGCTCTGGGTGGGGGCGGGACTTCCTGGCTAGCGAGGGAGGCCCCCAGGGTAGGGCGCCCGGCCTAGGTCCCCAGCTGCCCCCTCCCCCGCCCAGGTTTAGTGCAGTGAAGCAAGGGAGGGGCCTCCAGCCCACCCAGCCTGGTGGTGCCAGAGATCAGTCTCCTGCTGCGGCCACCACCCTAGGGTTCCCCAGAACTCTAGCACTCGATCCTGCCCTCTCCAGCCCTCCTGTCCCTTGTCCCTTTTCCTCACAAGGCTTCCCGAAGTCCTGGCCTCTCCACTTCGGGCTCCCGCACCTCCTGCTCCCCCACACCATCACCAGCTCTGCACTGCTTCCTGATCCTGCTGCGCCTGCCTCCTCCACGCTTGCTCCTTGCTGCTCCCCTCCCCCACGGAGGTGGCCTGCGGTGACCCATCTGCCCCTTCCGCAAAGCAGTCACCTACTCCCACCCCAAGCAGAAAACCGGAAGAGAAAATCCGGACACTGGCAAATTAGACTCCATGGAGCCAACCAAGCCAATGCCAAGGACTTGGGAGCCCTCTGTCCAGTTCATTAGGCCAGCCCATGTCCCCCCCTAGTGAGCCCTTAGGGGGCCCACATGCCTGACCCTCTGAGCAGATGGGCCGCTCACAAGAAAAGTTCAGGCCACAGCCAGCTCAGGGACACAGCCTGTATCAGCTCTCAGTCCACCCTGGCCCTGCCTGGCATAGCTCCCTCCTGCCTCCGTTTACCTGTCTCCATTTCCCTCCATCCACCTCCATTCACCTGTGTCTGCTCAGCTCCCCCAGAGCCTGCCGACTCCTCTCCCTTGGGGCCTGAGACTCCTCACACCCAACCTGTCCCCCCACTTCCTGCTGGGGGCACATTCAGGGGTGCTGGGTCCACACAGGAACTGCCAAGGACAGATCCAGGAGGCCAGGCTTGGAGGGGTCCCTGGGAGCCTGTAAGGGTGCCACCTGTCCTCCACAGAGCTCTTCCTCTGTCTCTGCCCACTTCCTGGGGACTGTTCTCCAGCCCATCAGCCCCCTGGCCCCCTCTGTTTACAACTACGGAGACAGGGACCAGCAGGGAGCCAGGCAGGAGGGCCCTCGGCCTCTGAGGGGTGGGGGTGCAGCCTGGAAGGCTCAGGAACAGTCACCCTCGGCTCTGAGTTCTTCCAGGGAAACTTATCAGAAATGAATAAACCCAAAAGGGATTGCCCTTCCCTGAGCGAACTCAAACCCAGAGGCAAAAGCACATGTGCCTGGCAAGCTCAGCTGAGGTCACTTTCAGTCCTGATGGTTGGGACCAACCCAAACTCCTCCCATTGCAATCCTGAGTGTTTGCTCTTCCCACCTGCTCTCCACGGGCCATGGCTATCAATAGGTAGGCAGCCAAGGGCTTGGTGTTCAGGTCCTGGAGTGGCACAGCAGGGAGCAGCCTTGACCCAGTGCAGGCGGCTGCAGGCGGCTGAGGCGGTGGCTGTGTCTGGTTGGTGCCCCCCACCTCCTGCCACCTCCTTCTGGCAGGGTTTGGCCTTCTCATGCTCTTTCAAGAAAAGAGCAATAACCATAGACCTACTGCTCACCAGAACAAATCACCTGATTGTCCGCAGGGTGAATGTGAGCTGGGCGGGGAGTGTGCTGATGGTTTCAAAGGAACTTCCCCCTCCTCTAAGGGTTCCTCCTGACACATTTCACCTTCCCGCACAATAGCAAGGCAAACACTTAAATAGGACTGGTTCCAGGCTCTGTTCCAAGGCCCTTATCTACTCCATTCATCTAAACCCTATAACTACATGCTGAGGTTACTTCCACCTTCCAGATAAGAGGTAGGGCCAGGTGAGAGGGTCAGGAGTCAGTCAAGAGGCAGTCTAAGCTAACAGAGCACGGGGATGTGGAGGATGCCGTGGAGAACTGAGGGCTCAGCCAGGCAGCCCAGGGGAGTACAAGGAGACCTGGAATGACCCCGCTCCACCACAGCTGTGCTTCTCCTTCCAGTGCTGGGAACAGAACCCAGGGCCTTCACATTTAGCTACATTTCCAATCTACCTGTTTTTCTGAACTCATTTTGTAGACCAGGCTGGTCTCAAACTACAACCATCCTCCTGCCTCAGCCTCCCAAGGGCAGCCTTGTGTCCCTGACCCAGTTACTTCTCTGGACCTCCGTATCTCTTTTAAAATGAGAGGCTTGGGAGCTGGGCATGGTGGCGCACTCCTGTAATCCCAGCACTTGGGAGGCTGAGGCAGGCAGATTGTGGCAAGTTCGAGACCAGCCTGGGCTAAGAGTGAGCCCAAGGCCAGCCTGAACCGCATAGCAAGACCCTGTCTCAAAAAGACAAAAAAAAAGAGAGAGGCTTGGGTCCAGGACCCCAAATCGTGTGCTCAGGCCCCATATGTAGCCATGAAAGAACCTGAAAAGGCTCTGCACCCTCTGCACCCTGCCCCCACTCAGCCAGGGCAGGAGACAGGCTGCAGGAATGCAACTGGAGGACAGGGCCTGCTGTGCAGAGTTCCGGTGTCCTCTCACGCCAGGACAGGTCCCGGGCGCTCAGAAGCCCAGCCTTGATGGAGCAGGAGCAGCAGGAGGGTTCAGGAAGAAAGGGCATTTCCCCCTTTGAAAGGGGGTAGGGAGACTGTGATCCTGCCCACCTGATCTTAAGAAGGTCACCAGCAGGCCCCAAGAGGAAACCGTCTTGGACCCAAACACTGAGCCGGTGGGCCACAGGGTCCCCACAGCCACCTGGGAGAGGGAAGGAAAGGAAGGAATAAAAGACAGATGAGGACAGGGACCACTGTCATTCCTCAGCCACAAGGCAGGACTTGTGACCCAGCAGCCACCACAGGACAGAGTGCTCCTTTAATGTCAGAGCGCTAAATGACACAGCTTCCCGTGTGCCCCTCTCCCTGGCCTCCTTCTCTGTGTCTGCTCCAGCTGCTGCCCCCCAACATTCCTTCCCGCCTTCTCCTCCTCCCTGCATCCCCACCCCTGTCTTTGCAGTCCCAGCTATAGCTGACCCCTGTCAGACTGTGCCTGTGCCCGCCTAGGTCCCTGCCGACAGGTGTCCCAAGGGCAGCCTGTGTGGCAGAGGCTGCACCCCTGGGGAGGAGTGGGATTCCGGGGGGCAGTGGGCTGTCTCCGGCACTCATCTCCATGTCATTCTCTCCCACAGAGTCCGTGCCGATGGCCGTCATCATCGGGGTGGCCGTGGGAGCTGGCGTGGCCTTCCTCGTCCTAATGGCAACCATCGTGGCCTTCTGCTGTGCCCGGTCCCAGAGAAGTACGGGAGGGAGACCCGGGAGCTCAGGGAGGGGGACAGAGAAAAAGGCCAGGCTTAGACTGCCCCGGAGCGCAAGTAAGCAGCAGTGCGATGAGCAGGGGCCCTGAGTGCCGTGAGCTCCTGGGCAGGGCTGGGTCTGACGCTCGGTGTGACACCCAGGGCTCACGGGGCTGCTGGCGCCAAGCAGGCCCTTGGTCACGGCTGAACTGGGCTTGGCCAGCCATGTGGGCAGGATGGGCGGAGTGGGGACTGAGGGGCCTTATTGGTATGGGGGAAAGGAGCCGGTTTGACCCTTTGTTCTGCAAAGGCTACTGGTACAACCTGAAAAGCAGGTCACCCACACAGAGGGCAGAAAACATGCAAGGAATGGCTCTGAGCAAACTTGCAAAGGCCTTCATTGTTAGCAAGGGAACTGTAGTCCTCGTGCATTCCGGTGTGTCACAGAACCAGAACCTCCGAATGGGGCTCAGCTCTGAAGTTACCTGAGAGGGACAGACAGGTGCAGGGGAGGATGGGGAGTTAGAGTGGAGAGGAGCACAGTGGTGGAGCAGTCTTTAGGCCTGCCTCTGCCACCACATGACCCTGAGCAAGCCATGTTTATTCAAGGCCTCAGTTTCTTGTACGTGTGTGTGTGTGTGTGTGTGTGTGTGTGTGTGGTGTGGTGTGGTACGGGGGACTGAACCAGAGCCTTTGCATTGAACTATATCCCCAGTCCTTTTTATTTTCTTCATTTTGAAACAAGGTCTAGTTAAATTACCAAACTGCCCAAAATTTCAATCCTATGTCAAAAGTATAACAATAAAATTAATTTTTTAAAATTGCAATCCTTGGGCTGGAGGTTTAGCTCAGCAGCATAAGCGCCTGCCTTGCAAGCAGGCAGTTGTGAGTTCGATCCCCGGTACCGATAAAAAAGAAAAAGACCAAAAAAAAAAAAAAATTGCAATCCTCCTGCCTCAGCCTCCTAGAGTGCTGTGATTACAGGCCTGTGCCGTCTTGCCCAGCTAGCTGCACTGTTAAGAGGTTGCATGCGGTGACTTTTATGGCTCCTCTGCCTCTAAGCTCCTCTGAGCTGAATACACAAAATGAACACCAGAATAAGCCCGCCACCAGGGCCGCCTGGCAGCCTCCCCATGCTGGAAGGAAGCCTGCGGTTTCTCTCTGCTCACATGTTCTCCACCCCAGCTAAGCGGCTTTAGCCACCATGGCCACCTCCAGTGACGTGGCTTTGGGGCCTCCTTGGAGGTCCTCTCCATGAATTATTAGGGAGCTGATTGAGCAAGCATTTTCTAGTGTAGCTCTCAGGTAAAGGTGGCTGCCTCCTTAGAGGGAGTCAGGCTGCACCCCAAGGGTACTCAGGAAGCTGGACCTGTGTGTGTGCCCCACTGGGTGAGAGGGTGCCTGCATTCTAAGGTCCCTTTCAACACTTTGATTTGTGATTCTGTGAATGGAGCGGTCAGAGCCCAGCAGAGAAGACTTCTAGAAGGAAGTGAGAAGACAGTAGTGTGAGAGGACTTAGCTCAGGAAGGTGGACAAGAGGACTAGCTCAGGAAGGTAGACACATGGATGAAGACACCCTCTCCACCAGGGACATTGAGGTGCATGCAGTGGGGGCCACAAAGCCTGGCGTCCATGGGAGGCGGCTGTGAAGCTGCAGAGAGCAGGGGCTAAAGGGAGGGTCAGCCCTGGGGTGGTGGGGTGAGGGGCAGCAGCGCAGGGAACGGGACATCTCAGTCCTTTGTTCCTGACATCAAGAACTGAATTTGTGGCCTGCGCTTTTCAATTTTATGTCCAGATCTCAAAGGTGTGGTGTCAGCCAAAAACGATATCCGAGTGGAGATTGTCCACAAGGAGCCCGCCTCTGGCCGGGAGGCGGAAGAACACTCCACCATCAAGCAGCTGATGGTAAGAATGCGTCCCACTCCCAGGAGGGCCCGGGACCAGGGCTTCTCTGCTCCCCCAGAGAGGCAGAGCAGCAGTCAGGGTGTGCCCCCTCTGTCTTCCTGCAGGCCAGCTACCCCGTATCAGCTCACCAATGTTCACTCGGTATTGTGCTAGGTGATCTGGAGACTCAGAATGTCTGGATGCATCACCAGCCCCCAGAGAGCTTGACTGTCCAGTAGGAGGAGGATGCACGCTCAGATTGCCCTGATATGTGCTACACACAATCATATACTCACACGCACACTCCACCCCAGTCCCACAGAAGTCTCTGAGAAGTGTAAGCTCCTGGGGCCTACTCGCCCTTGGTGCTCCCCTCGCCCCAACTCAAAACTTCTCTGTGGACACCAGCCCTGCTGACCCCCTTGAGGCACCAGAAACTACCAAGCTGTCCAGGCAGAAGCCAAGACAACTACACAGAAGCTTTTGAAACACTTGGTCGTGATTGGAAAACATTGAAACCATGACAGAGGGGCCAGGGGCAAAGAGTTGGGTTTCTCTGAGACTCAGTATCACATCTACAAAATGGGTACAGATGTCATCATGAGGGTTAAATGGAAAATCCCAGAAGCATGTGGAGCCATGGGTCACCATGGGAGCTCAGAATCTGAGCGAGCTCAAGGCCTCCATATAACCTGCACCCTTCCGCCCTGTTCTTTAAGTTGTCTCTCAGTACCTAACACAGTGTAGATGAGACGTGAATGGCTGTAACACTGCACTGTTTAGGAAACGCTGACAAAGGAGAAATCTGTACCTGTTCAATACCAATGCAGTGTTTCCCAAATATTTCTGATCTGTGGCTGACTGAACCCACAGACTCAGGACTGGCACCCAGAAGCTGACAGAGCTTAGCACGTGGTAGCGATTTGTATTGCTTTAGAATCACCCACTAGACGTGAGCAACCACTGCCTCGCGCCCACCCCACAGCTGCTCTCCAAAGTTTATTGACCCAAACTGACTCTTCCATCCGCTGCTCCTTCTCTGTGCCGCCAATGTGCATCCCTGCCACCCTTCCACTGTCCCTCGCTTCTCTCTGGCTCCCTCCAGCTCCCCTGGACTATGACAGCAGCTCTTGGCTTTGCCACTTTTCTCAATCCCCACAGCTAGGAGCCCAGTAAGAAATGCAAATCGGAGCCTGTGACTGTCCTACTTCAGTCCCGGGCGGCTCCCAGGACTCCTGGATGAAGTCCCGCTGCCCGGCCTGGCTCCAGGCCTCCATGCAGTGCAGCCGCCCTGCTTCCCAGCTCCGTCTTCCACACCATCTCTCCGGCTTCCCAGGAATACCAAAGAGTCTGTGGCTCCTGGGCCCAACATCCTTTGTTCCTCAAGAACCTGTGCACAGACTGTCCCTGCTACCTGTTGGGTGTCACCTTCTCTAGGAATCAGCTCCACAGTGAGCGCCATGACTTCTGCTGCCCCTCCCACCGCGCCCCATCGTAGTGTCCAGCTGTGTGCTTTTGGCTGCAACACACACACTTCGTCTGTGTCTCTCTCCTAGTGCACTGCCGAATTACAGATCAGCCACCTAATAACCTCCAGCTCCTGGAGGACGAAGGTCCTGCTACTGATTCTGTGCTGTCTACTTCCCCTGAGGCCAAGCTTAACGCCTGACACAGCTCTGAGTATAGTTTCATAAGGGAAACCCTAGCCCAGGTCTAAGAAGGGATGAGCAAGCATCTCAGTGCAAATTCCATCAGGTCTCTCCTGTTCAGCTTGAACGAGCCCTTGAGGTGCCTCTGTCTCAGGACATTCTGCACTTCCCAGAATTCCACACCCTCAGGAAAGAGTGGGGTCACCCTGGATTCCAGCAGGAAGAGGATAAGTGGGCAGATGGGGCTCTCTGAGAGCTCTGTGTCTAGCTTCCTCCTGTGGAGAAGTTCATCCCCCACTGCTCCAGCCTCTGGCCCTGAAAACGACCCCATCATTGAAGACAGGCAACCCTAACATTTGAACCTGGTGAGAAAAAAGAACTCCCAGCTGGGTGTGGTGCACACTTGTAACCCTAGCACTCTAGGAGACTGAGGCAGGGGACTGAAAGTCTAAGCCCAGCCTGGACAATTCACTGAGAGTCTGTCTATAAACTCAAAAGGTGGGGAGGAGAGACTGCACAACAGCTCAGTGTAAAGGTCCTGAGTTTAATCTACGGCACCGATGAAGAGGAAGGCGGAAGAAGAAGAAGGAAAAAATAAGACATCATCATCCAACCCAGAAAACTCCAGGGCGGTCACTGAAAAATGAAAAAAGCAGTATTGTGAGAAGGAAGGCGGCAGAATTCCAAAAGGAGGCCAAGTTGCAAGGAAGGAAGAGCATCGGGCTCCAAGTGGGCGGGGCCTTGGGGCCTCGATCTTGCGATTAGAGGAAGTGATAATGGGAGGACGCAGTTATTCACTTGTTTGTTTCAGTGTTTTTATGAAGCAGGGTCTTGCCGTGTCGTTTGGGCTGACCTTGAGTTCACTGGGTAGCCTAGCTGGCCTCAAAAGTTTCGCCCTCCAGAGTGCTAGAATTACAGGAGGCACCACACCCTGGTGACGCCACCACACCCGGCCATAGGAAGCAATTTATATATGTCACTGTGCTTTGTTTTTCAGTTTACATCGCACTGTTCCTCTGGGGACTTGGAACCATGCCACTCCACTCACTTGCCACTCTATGTAACCTGGGAAAGCCTTACTATGTGTCAAGCATCATGCTAGGCATTTGGCAGTCAAAGAAGTAAAAAGGCCCACTCCAAAAGCATTTTGGTCAGTGACAACCACATGCAAGGCACTGGACCAACTGTGCTGGAGACCCCAGGAGCGCAAGCAGGGATCTCCCCCTCAGGCTGCTTGGCATCTGTTGGGAAAGACTTCCAGTCCAGCTGAGTCACGGCGGTGAATAACACAGGTGACCCATTGTGTTCATCAGTGTTAGATCACTGTGACCAACTATGTGAGAAAATCGACTGGAATGGAGGAAAGACTTGTTTTGGCTTGAGGTTTCACGGGTTTCAGTCCGTGGTGGAGCGGAACAGCACGGTGGAAATGTGTGGCAGAGGAGACTTCTTTCCTCATGATGTCAGGACGCAAAAAGAGGAGGGGCCAGGGTCACTATCCCTTTCCAGGGCACAGCCTGGGGACCTAACGTCCTCTCATCAAGCCCCATCTACCCTCTTAAGGTTGCATAACTGCCCAGTAGCACCACATGCTGCACCTCACAAACGCTCTCACATGCAGATACTCCTTTAGGAAGCTGTCATTTGGCCGGCTGAGGAGCTGTCCTAAACCTTCATCTGTGTATCCCTAGCCCTCAGCACAGGGCCTGGCTAGAGCTTCTCAGCCAATGCTTGATGAACTGAATGAATCAGCCAAGTGAGATCTCTGGAGGTCATGTCCTTGCCTGACCCAAGACAGCCTGGCCATGGAGACCTGAGTTAAACCCACACACACACACTTCCTGCCACTCTGTCTTTTAGGATGGTGGTGCCAGGATCATCCACAAGGTCTGGAATCTCATTTCTTCTGTGGTTTAGACAGTAAGGGGGAAACATATATGGGGTTCATTTCTCATCGTTTCGTTGGAGGAGGTGGCCTTGAGCCCACTTCCTGGCCACTGAGCAGACAATTTTGGATTGTAGATGGACCGAGGCGAATTCCAACAGGACTCAGTCCTGAAGCAGCTGGAGGTTCTCAAAGAAGAGGAGAAGGAATTTCAGAACCTCAAGGTAAGAGTAACCACAGGTCATTGGATATGGCTACGCTCTCTGGTCTTCAGCCCTGGCAGTACCAGCCTCATTTCACACAAAGAAAAACCCTAAGCAAAAGAAAGGGAGGCCAGAGGCCAGCCTGGGGGCAGGCTCGTATCCCCGCCCTGCGGTAGGTGCTCAGCATGCAGGACACTTGCTCTCCCCCTCTAACTTGAGGTAAGTCTGTGGTCCCCCAGCTCCTCTCCCTCTGCCACCTCACAGACAGATTCTAAAACTCATTATAAGTGTCCTGAAAAAAACACACACTGACCTTCAGTGCCCGGACATAAATCCGGTCAGGAGCTGCTGATTCCCTTGTCTCAGTGCCTGACTGTCCCTACAGCCACTTGGCCACAGGCCAGGCTCTCTGCTCTGGGGTCACCCCTGCCACATTAACCCTTACTGTTCTGGCCCCCGCCCTCCCTGGTTGCTCTGTTCCTCTTTATCCCCTCTGTCACACTTGGACACCCCCACCCTGTGACCAGCAAAGTCTCATGAGCCGTGCATTCCCCCTCCTGCCCCCCAGGACCCCACCAATGGCTACTACAGCGTCAACACCTTCAAAGAACACCACTCGACCCCAACCATCTCCCTGTCCAGCTGCCAGCCAGATTTGCGTCCCTCAGGCAAGCAGCGCGTGCCCACGGGCATGTCCTTCACCAACATCTACAGCACCCTGAGTGGCCAGGGCCGCCTCTACGACTACGGGCAGAGGTTCGTGCTGGGCATGGGCAGCTCATCCATCGAGCTCTGTGAGCGGGAGTTCCAGAGGGGCTCCCTCAGCGACAGCAGCTCCTTCCTGGACACACAGTGTGACAGCAGCGTCAGCAGCAGCGGCAAGCAGGATGGCTATGTGCAGTTTGACAAGGCCAGCAAGGCCTCTGCCTCCTCCTCCCACCACTCCCAGTCCTCTTCCCAGAACTCTGACCCCAGTCGGCCCCTGCAGCGGAGGATGCAGACGCACGTCTGAGGCCCACATACCTTGGGTGGGGATGGGAAGGGCAGGAGGAAAGGGCACAGGCTGGGTCTCTAAGAACTGGGGCTACTTCACAGAGGATTCAGAACCCCCACCTCCAGGACGGCCTGTGAAACCCCCGCTACCACCTTCCTTTGAAGCTCTCACCAAGCACAAATCTGAGTCGTCAGCTGCATCGAGGCCAGAGGTGGTGGGAGGGCGGGGAAGTGGACAGAGGATGCAGACAAGTGCACTGTGCTCGGTGCTGGACACACTGTCCCCCACCCTTCTCTGGATGTCCCTGTACCACCTGCTCCTCCCACGGGCACCTGTGGCAGCTATAACTTTGCTTTCCGGAACCTGCCGTCCACTCTCCGTCTCTCCCTGGGCTTCCCCCCGTGCTGCCCGTGAGCCCTCCCCCCAGCCTGTGCTCCCAGACAGTCCTGGGGAGTAAGGGGAGTTCTTCCAGACACTCCAGCGCCCCTTATTGCTCATAGTCCAGGCCTCAGAGGCTGAGAAGCCAGCAATTGCCCCAGGCCAAAGGAGTACCCGCTACCCAGGAGCCCACCCCAGTGCGTTTGGTGTTTTGTGTCCATACTCTTGCCGTTCTGTCCTTGGACTTGAAGCCTCTGAACTTGGAAGTGGGACTGGCCCAGAGCCGTGGGGAGGGTGAGGGAAGGGAACGATGGAAAGTGTGAGCAATGCCCAGCTGGGGAACTCCTCACCCAAGGCTCCTCCCAGCCCAGCCTCCCTGCCCTGCTTCGGGTTCTCCTCTCCTTCCTGCAGCACAACTGGAGTTAATATAAGGAGTGTGTGAGTCTCTCTGGTCAGGGTTCTTGGAATCGCCCCTGAGTGGTTCCTGAGGGGTGTGGGCCAAGGGGGCTGGAGGCCAGGCCTTTCTGAGACTTGCTCTCGGCTGGCGAACACAAGGAACAGTGATCCTGTCTTCAGTAAGACTCTGGGCCAGAGGGACAGTTCACCTGCACCCCCACCCCCCACCATCTGAGAATAAACATTAGGCCCATTACCCTGACAAGTCCATTTATTCTTTGGTTCCTGTGAAGACAGGAAGAACTCAAGAGCTACAAGTATGTCTCGGGAACCCGTGGTGCTCTGGTCCTCTTTGGTTCAGTGTCCCCAGACAAGACCACTGACAGGTCTGCTTATGGTGGTCACAGCACCTAGAGGCAGGCTTTCCTCCTCTGTGCTCAGGTTTCACCCCAAGGACAGGAAAAACACCAACCCCAGCTCCTGCCAGACACGGTCACGGCAATATGGTCATTTTGGATGCTGGCCAGGGCATTCTAACCTTTACCATCATCGATCCTGGGCAAAGGAAAGTCCCTCCGCTTCGGGCTTCCGGGAACAGGGAGGCTTCCAGGAAAGAGTGTAGCCCACCCGTCATGGGACTCAAGTGTCGTTCTAGAAATAGCCTTGCTGGAGTGAGAAGCTTGGTACAGTCATGGCAAATGGGATAGGTAAACACAGGGTAGGTAAGAATGACAGAGAAAGCATTCCTAAGGTTGGAGGTCCCCAGTTAGCTGTGAAGCCTTCCCTGGTGGTCTGTGCTCATCATGGAACCTCCAGTGAAAGTGTCTGTGTTTCTTTTCATACATTAGTTCCTTGGATGACCTCAATCCACCAATCTGCATTTTTTGTTGTTGTTTTATTTTTGAGACAGAGTCATTATTCCAGGGTGGCTTAAATTTTTTTTTTTTTTCCTAGAAGTTACCAACAGGGAAGGGTGGCTTAAATTTGAAATCTTTCTGCCTCGGTGTTCCTAGGGCTGGGATTAGAGATCTAGTCACCACGCTGGGCTTCAGTGAACAGATTCCATGCATAGCCTTCATAGTTTTTCCACACAAAGGACTTTTCAGGTTTGATCATATATCCTAGTATTTCAAAAACTACCCATATCCCTGGTATCTGCTTTTGCAGCTCCCACATCCGAGGGAATAGAAACCCATCAGAAATGAAAGTGCACATCTCGGTCCCACATTCTGGTGTGACTGCTGGCCTCTGTCCTCTCAAAGTTAATCTTTTTTTTTTTTTTTTTTTTCCTTTTTTTTTTTTATCGGTACCAGGGATTGAACTCATGACTGCCTCCTTGCAAGGCAGGTGCTTATGCTGCTGAGCTAAATCCCCAGCCCTCTCAAAGTTAGTCTTTTGAGCTTTCCTTCTTCCCATGTATGTCTTCCCTTTGGCAACAGGCAGCAAGGATCCAAGGCCATCCGCAAAATGCCTTGATGCACTGGAATGAGGAGGAGAAAACTAAAAGATTTGTCCATTCATTTCTCCTCATCTTCCCCTTGGAGATGGACGCACAGTCTACCTCTGGATCCCCACCAAAGCTCACCTTGCCCCTTGGCTCTCTCCCCCTGGCCAAGCTATAGGGTGGAAGTATCCATTGTTCCTTGGAATTCAGGGTTACGACAGAATAACCAAAAGAATGAGGAAGAAATCCGTTCCATGAAACAAAATGATCTCTTCTCCCTCGCACACTCCCAGGCTAAGAATGTGGATGGTCATGGAAGATAAGGAGCAGCAAGCACAGGAGTATCCATACTCCGAGCTCTGTACCTGCACATTACAATTCCTAAAGGCAGGACAGGGGCGGGGTGGGGTGGGCTCACATGTATAGATTTTATGATAGCACAGCGAGAAAATGCACACAGCAGTAGCCTAGGGTTCTCTGGACCACTGAGAAAGAACTCTGAGTTTTGAAGCTTAAAGAATAAGACTTAAGAAATAAATCAGACACACGGGTTTAAATATCTCATTGTTTCTCGTGCTTGAGAAATCCAAAGCATAAGTGGGGAGTTTAGTAAAGAACAGATACTAAGGAGTAGGAGGAACATGTCAAATAGGAAAGGGAACAAAGAGGAGGGGTTTAACAACAGAGAGTAAGACTTAACCAAAAGACTTGCCCAAGTCACTGAGCTAAAAGTGGCAAACAGTCTGAAACCCTGATTTCTAATCCCACAGTACAAACATGAAGCCGGTCATCCCGAAGGCAGACAGAAGTGGCTGCTGCAAAGGCCATCTGTTAGCAGCTGCTCTGGGTAGGCTGGGTTAGGACAAGCACAAGCCGGGGACACGGCCCCATTAGGAAGGCGAGACTGGCACCTTCCTCCTTCAGTCCCCAGATGACCTGGAAAGACCACAACTCCCTGGGAAACAAAGCTATTCTGTGTGTCAATCCATCCCCTTTCCTGCCAAGGCTGAGATCCAGCATTCTGATAGCTTTAACTTCATTCCTGGCTCAGAGGCCCTGGATGAAGGCCCAGTTTCTAATTCTCAGGCTGGAGATCCCTCTGCATAAGGCCAGAGTTATTGCTACCACCTCTGCACCTTCCATGGAACAGGAAGTGCTCTCCTGTGAGGAGTTACATGCCATATCCGGTCCAGCCCCCATGAATCCTATTTAAGCTAATCGTGTAAAGTGGTAGCCCTGGGAGTCTGCGCAATGAAAAGAATCCAGGGAAATGAAAATGAACACGATGAGACCTTGGAAATTGCTCAGGACAGAGGGAGGAGGCGGCAGGGCTGCACCTCTCTTCCCGGTTGGGAAGGGTGTTTGCCAGTTTGTGGTGTTTGCCAGCTTGTGGTGTTGGCCAGATTATGGTGTTTGCCAGGTTGTGTTGTGGAGCTTGGATGCAAATCACAAGGTGAACTCTTCTTCCTATGTGCATATTTGTGATGGTACCCTGAAAGGACAAAGGGCAGTTCTTTGTCCTAGTGTTTTCTCTAGAAATGTTCTATATAAAACAAACTTTCTGTTTTTGCAGTGCTGATCCTCAAACCTAGAGCCTCAAGCACGTTAAACAAACACTTTACCACTAAGGCACACCTACAACCCTAAAACTTTATTACACTTTTTTTTTTTTTTTTTTAGTACCAGGGACCAAACTCATAACCTTGCACTTGCAAAGCAGGCTGTTAAGCCACTAAGCTAAATCCCTCTCCTAAAACTCTTTATTACAATAAAAGTATAGCTATTTAAATATCTCATCATTTGAATATAGATTTTTTTTTGTCTTTTTTTTTTTTATCAGTACCGGGGATCGAACTTACAACCACACACTTGCAAGGCAGGTGCTTATGCTGCTGAGCTAAATCCCCAGCCCCCTGAATGTAGATTCTTTATTTAAAATGTCCCTTGGTGTGCCTATTTAAACAGCCAGCCAGCTGGGCATGGTGGCTCATGCCTGTAATCCCAGGACACAGCAGGCTGAGGCAGAAGGACCTCTGTTTGAAGTCAACTTGGGCTACATAGTAAGTTCAAGGTTAGCCCGGACTGCACGGCAAGACTTTGTCTCAAAAAAACCAACAAGAAAAAGATGTTCAGATGTAGACCATGGCATCACACCTAAATCTTAGCTTTTCCTTCTTCTTTAAAAGGTCTTCAAAAGCCTCCTATCTGAGTTGGTTTCAGAATCTATAACCACATATTGGCCATTTGCAGCTCTAGAATCCAAGCCAGAAACAATCTCTGGGAGTCACGGAAAGAGCTCTCAGCACAGAGCTGCCTCTGTCCAGGAACCCTCCAACCATCTTCTCCCAGCTTCTTGTATTCCGGTCTTCCTAACCAGGTCACAATGTGGGGAAATGAGACCATGTCAACCTCCTCTTCTTTCTACACCATCTCAGGGGTGTTTTCCAGGATAAGAACATGGTTGCCACAGACCATCAGTTTTTTCCCTTGATAACTGGTATTTTTCCTCGCTCCGCCTCTCCTCCTCTCTAATGCTAGGTTTTTGACATACAAGTTCTCATTACTACAAGCTGTATGGTTTTTGGCTCTATCACAACCATCATCTGGAAAAAGTTTTTTTGAGGGAATGGGGTATAGCTCAGGGCAAAGCACTTGCTTAGAATGTGCAAGGCTGTAGGTTTGATCTCCATCACTACAAAATAAACAGTCAAAGGGGTCTTTTGTGAGTATACACCATTCACAAGACACAAACTATGACCTATGTCCTTCACTTTATATATGTGGTACGTATGCCCTCCCATGTGCTAGTGAACCCAGGACTCTGGGGATATTAACAATGTGCTCTACCACTGGCTGACACCCCTAACCACTCCTGGTTGCATTTATGTTCCCATGAACACCTTCCTGCCACCCCATGTCCCTGCTGTCCACACATCCCCTCACAGGGCAAGGACATTCTCAATCCATAGGTCGAGAAAGTTCCTCAAGGTCCATGACCAGGGGACACAGACAAACACAAATATTTCCTTCCACTGCCACTTAATTATGGCCCTTGGCAACACCTTGGAATGCAAAAATCAGAACATGCAAAGTGTCTATCTTTATAACTGTGTTCTTGTGGCAAATCTAACATTTTAATATTCAAAGAGATGGGAAGTGAAGTCTTAGAAAGCCAGATCTCCCTTGGAAGAATTGCAATGTTCATTACATGGACCTTTTGTGAAATCTACTCCCAGTTAGGCAAGAGGGAAATTTCTACGCAGGATAGCTGCTGAATACAGGCGAGGTCCATTCCCTTCTTTTTTTTTTTTTTTTTTTTTTTAATCGGTACCGAGGATTGAACTCACGACCGCCTGCTTGCAAGGCAGGTGCTTATGCCGCTGAGCTAAATCCCCAGCCCACGAGGTCCATTCCCAAGGGAGTCATCTCTCCAATGAGCCAAAGACAAGATCGGGTGGACTAGATAAAAGGTAACACCCCTATCACCTTTGCATTTTAGGGACCAGGACTTTGCTGCCAGAGAACTAGAAATTATATTCATCGTACCACTGGGCATTGCATTTTCTGGAGCAATCCTAAAAAAAAAAAAGACAAGCAGAGACACAGTGGTATAGACAAGGATTGAGGAGGTAATTTCCCTAGTTTTCCTGCCACGCAAGGGCTCTATCAATGCAACGCAAACAGAGTGCACACAGAACTTCAGTCTCCCTACAGACTCCAACTTGTACTCAGGATATTTTTCTCAAGTTAGAGCAGCTCTATGCTTAGTAAGAAGGAAAACCCACTTTTAAGCAGGTGAGGCCACTCCAAAGTGCTAAAGATGGTTATGCTTGCAAATTTGTGTTTTGAGAAGCCTCACATAATAAATGGTTCTAGATTAGCTTAGCTCAGTAATTCCAACTCTGAACTCTAGGGTTGTTTCAAGGTCTGGGCCTTTCCTCATTCTCTCCACCAGGGTCCACCTTGCCACTCCCCAGGGTTCTGCTGAGGTGGCAGGTGTTATTTAAACTGTTAGCTTTCCTTAGCACCCTGACACAAGGCAAAAAACAACACCTGTCTCCCAGTCCCATTTCCCCAAACACCCGGGTCAAGCCCTTCTATGGCCTGGCCCCCATCAGACTCCAGGGCCTCCCAGCTGCTTCCTGCTCTCTAAGAGCAGGGGCAGAACCTTCCAACACATCTGAGCTTCTCCCAAATCTGCCACATCCTAAGATTCAAGGTTCATCTCATTGCTTTATTTCCTTTCCTTTTTGGGAGGAGGAGAAGACAGGGTCTCACAGGGTCTTGGCTGGCCTCAAAAATCTGTGTAGACCAGGCATATATATATATATATATATATATATATATATATATATATATATTCCAAATCCATTTTATTTCAAAAAGAAAATAAACAAAATTTCAAAACATATTCATCAAGGGCAACCATGGTACATACATTGCACGCTGTCACTCCCAAATCATTCACCTAGAGCACAAGACATCTGCATTCAATTGATACTGGACTCAATCTTGCAGCAATCCTCCTGCCCCAGTCGCCTAAGAGCTGGGATTACAGGAGTGTACCACCATGGCCAGCTCACCTTATTTCTTGGGTGCAGAATCCCAAAGATTCCTAGCAATGGAGGTTCTTCATTGAGAAATAAGTGGACAGGAAAACTACAGATATACACATAAAAATTCAACTAAAAAAGAAAGAAAGAAAAAAAAGAAAGAAAAATTCCTCAACTATGATGAGGTTATATTTGATACACTGTTTGTTTGTGATAAGGACTTGCTATGTATGTCAGGCTGAGTTTGAACTCACTATATAGTCCTGATTAGCCTCGAGTTGCAACAACCCTCCTGCGTCAGCCTTCTGAGTGTTGGGATTACAGGCATGTGCCACTTCGCCTGGCCTTACCCTGATATATTCTTTGTAAAATCAAAATATCTTTAAGTCAACCCAATACAAAGAGGCACAAGGCACTGATGTTGGGCTGGCCTATCTATGCCTATAAAGCCCAGCATTCCAGACTGAGAATTTTGAGTTTGGCCAACCTAAAGCACACAACAATACCCTGTCTCAAAGCAGACAACTACAACAAAAAATGCACTCAAGGCACCTAAGCACAGTCACACAGTACACATTGGTGGCTTCCCCTTGCGACCACCTTGGCTGACTAGAAGCTGCCAAGCCACCACTACCCAGCAGCAAGAGAACAGAGTGCCACATACTGCCAGCCAGGAAGATCAAATTTCAAGATCTGATGCATGGATTTTACGAATGGGTTTTGCTTTCTCACCACTGTGAAGTTTAAAAAAAAACAAGTCATTTTAAGTCTGTACATGCCTTAAACTTGTAATTAGATCATGAAGATATGATTATCCTAGAAACACATCTTATACAGAAATGGGGATGTTTGGGACTGACTTTCTGAAGCTATAATCAAGACTTCAAGGGCTTGGAGTGGGGGTGGCCCACTAGCACTTGGCTAGCATGCTAGAGACCTCGATTTGATCCTCAGCACTAAAGAAAGGGGAAAAAAAACTTCAAACAGTCAGAAGGTTTAGAGAATTACAAACTCTGATTCATTTGTCAAGCTTTGCCAAGAACCTACACAGTTGAAACGGACATCTTGCAAGGAACTTCTTTCCCTGAGAACCTCTAGAAGGTGCTGACTGAACTTGGAAGCTACTGCAGCCCAGTTTTGCATAATCACAGTTCCTGCATTACACAAAGCCCACGGTTTGTATTGTCACCTTCCTCTATTATGCTTGTGGGTGATGTCTTATCAGTAACCAACCATGTTACTCAGTACCTGTGCAAATAGTTGGCCCCACAAATGTACCTCACTTCTTGTATACTCTCCAGCATTTTCCGTTATGTAAGGCAGCTTTCCAAGCCTTTACTTAAATCACACTGTACAGGCTACAAATGTCTTTATAATCATACTTCCATTAGATCTCAAGATTTTCATTGTGAGGCAGGCATGCATAGTCACTGCCTTCCAGATGGAAAAGCCGAGGCTAACTTGGCTAATCAAACGACAGCAGAAAGGGAAGGCCATTGTATATTGTGTGTACTACTTTACTGCATGTCAGATGGTACTGTTTCCAAGCCCAGGCTTTACACAGGCTAGACAGTTCCTGCAGGAAGTCAACTGAATGTGCTAATGTCCTCGGAAAGTGTAAATAAAAAATATAAAGTATCCAAAATTAAGGCACGATGCCATGGTATGTACATAGAAAAAAAAAATCGCTTCAATGTGGATTAAAGACCTCAACTCCTGTCTCACCCGGGGTGGAGTAACCGGGGAAAGGCTGGACGCCCTCTCTGCGTCTGAACCAGATGGTGCAGGCCTTCTCTCGGCCTCTGCAGTAAAAGTGGCTCACACCACCCGGCCCGACCCGGCCCGGTAGGAGCTCAGACTGCTGGCCCACGCAAACCGCGGCGGAGGGGCGCGGGCCAGGCTCTCCGCGATTGCCAGGGAGGCGCCACCCTTGCCTACAGCCGGGACCAGCATCTCCAGAGACTGCGATTAAGGAAGATCGCCCGTCCCCGCAGGGGTCCCCTGGCGCTCCTACACCAAGAGCATCCAGGGCCCCCAAGGCGCGTGCGCGGCCCGCCCTCTCAGTGGCAGGGCGGGGCAGAGCGAGGGGAGAAGTTGCTAAGCTCCGCCCTAGGCAAAACCTGCGCAGGCGTCAAATTAACACGGCTCAAGGGGCGGCCGCGGGGACTACGAAGGGCTTTACTGTAGACCACACCAGAGCCTGGAACAGGCCATGAGATCATCCCAGCGTCTAGACTGCTGAGGCCCTGGTTCTTAGGGCTGTGAGACTCCCAGATTCCTGGCCCAAACAGCCTAAAACCCAGGAATTTGCATTCTTGAATCACCCCAGGTAATTCTGGGATAAATGGTCAGGCCATAAAAGCAGAGTTGAGTCCCCCAAGATCTAACAGCTGCAAGGCGTTGGCGCAGCCTGGTGTAGAATCCAAGTGCTTCCCCTCCCTCTTTTCTCATACTGCTGCTGCTGTATTCCAGGGCACGGGTTAATCAGACCCAGGCAGGCTGGCAGGCATTCTACCCAAGGCGGTTGGGCTAGTTGAGGGCTCACATCTCTTTCCCAGAACAGCAAAGGACTTCATTCAGCAACTCCACCCCCCCCCCCAGCCTTGACATTGCCCAGCACTGCCTGAGACCCCAAGGATTTGGGGGACCCTGGAGCAAGCTATGTCCTCTTGCCAGCCATCAATGGCCTGGGTGGGTGTACACACACCTCTGGACTATAGGTGGTCTCAAAGGACCGTCACTAACAACCTAACAAAATGTAAAAGGCTCCCATCTGTGTGTATGTGTGTGGAGTTCGTGACTCTGTGTGTAGATTCTGGTTCACGATTTGGGCACGGTCACTATCAAGCAGCAGCCTCAGTCCTCCAGGGCAGCCTGATCCTGTGTGGACAGCCATTCTCAGTGGCCCTGGACCGAGACACCAAGCTATTGTGCTCTCCCTGAGAAGCAGCTGGGATAAGCAGACACGACACACACACACTTTCACAGCCCTTTGGGGTCCTGCTCAGACCTGGAAGTGAAGCCTACCCTCCTGGGTGGAAGGGAAGGGGCTGCAGACACTTAGGGCCCAGTTTCCTTTGGGATCCTCCACCCCACCCCAGCACCATGGAGGCACCGCTGGCAGTGCGTCCCAGCTTCTGAGACTGCAGGCAGTTCCACTCCCTCCCTGGGTCTCCCAGCAGGATGAGGTTGGCTGTTCTCTAAGCCATTCCAACTCTGCGGGGAACTGTGTCATTCTCTTCTGTCCTTCCCAAACTGCTCTGCTTTGGTACTGTCCTGTCCCATCACGGCTTGTTCCAAAACCTCAAGGCTGAAGCTCTTTCCGAGAAAGCTGGGAACACAGCTGTGAGTTCCAGGCCCCTGGGGGAGTTCCAGTGCTCCCTTCTGGCTCCAGATGTAAAGGAACAGCTGGAGGGGAGGGGAGGCCCATTTAGCAAGGAGGCAGAGTCTGGGATGATGAACAAAGAGCATAAGCCACAGGCAAATGGCACGGCTGGTAGGATTCTAGGGATCTGGGAAAGAAACCCTCTCATCACCACCCAGCAACTGGCTGTCGGCCCTTGCCAAATCCTTTGTTGCTGCCCTCCAACCCCCCAGCTGGCAGCCTGTGGCCTGGCAGGACCTTTCATAAACTCCATCTTATGATTCTCCCTTAATCTGAGAAGGGAAACTTGGCTTTCTGTGTCTGGCCCCACCCTGGTCTTCCAAATTCGAACCTCCCAGCCTGAGATTGTGGTAATTAAAGAATGCCCAGGGGAAGAGGAAAGACAGGAAAGGACTGTGCCACTCCCATCTAGCATCCTCTGGTCCGATCCCTCCCTCCCCCTGGAAAGTGGACCAACATATAGGCTGCCAGGCTGGGTGCCTGCAGGCAGGGCCTCTCTGGGCACCACTTGCCTGCCTGCTATGCCAGGGTGGAAATGCATGCCCAGCCACCCAGTACGATCTCAGCAGTGACAACCCTGAATAACTGTGTGATGCCCGGGTCTAACAAACCTGAAATGCTACCACATCTCCATTTCTATACTCCCCACGCTGAAAGGATACAGGGCCTCACCACTGCTTCCGTTTTAGGAAAAATATTTTAATGAGGTCCACTTTTGAGTGACCCCCCCTTGCTAGTGCTCTTCCCATGCCCGCTGGGAGGTAGCAACCCCTCTCTGGAGGGCACCCACCAATTCTGACACCTCCACTCTCCTGGGAGGCCCATCACATGTTATAAAAACTTCTGACTGCCATGGGACCAGCCCACAGCACTCTCCTCTGTCATAATTAAATAGTCCATTAAATAATCTCTGGGTGCTGGCAGAGAGGGGGTGCCTCAGCAAAACACCCCCTACCTCAGATGGGCTCCTGTGGCCTGGTGCCTGTATCCTGGCTGGCTCAGGGCTCCGTGAAAGCAACCAGGGGTGCGGACTCATCTTAGGCTGGGCCAGTCCTGGAACCCCTTTGCCACACAGGGGAGGGTGAGTCCAGTTGGTAGTGCTGGACCAGTTACCCTCATGGCCATGGACAGGGTTGTCCATGCAGTGGGCAGACAACTGACGTGTTCGTTTGCCAAGTCAGAAGTAGGTAAGGTTCTTGAGAACACCCATCTGCAGCATCCGCTTGATGGCCATGGCCTCTTGGGAGACGTTGTGGCCTGACCCCTGTGGAAAGAGCCAGGGGAGGCGGTGGAGGAGCTTCTGGAGACCTCTTTAACCCCAGGAAAGTCTCTTCCCTGCCCCATCTCCTTGGAAATCCCTCCTGCAGTGACTCTGGGAAGGAGGACAGAAGCTGAATGGACAAATACAGTGGATGCACAGTGGGGAGACAGATGCCTTGGGAGCCACCTCTGGGTGCCTGCACCCCTCTCTCCCAGCAGCCTTCTTGTCTGTTCCCTGAGCCTAGCTGGCCTACTAGGCCCCCAAGCAGAGCCACTTACCGTCATGGACTTGAGTGTGATCTGCTCGTAGTAGTGAATGGTCTGCTTCTTATCCAAGGTGCTGGGGTAACCGAAGCCAGCGATGTGTACCAGGTCGCAGAGGTGGAGGGCCATGGTGATAGCCAACAGGCCTGTGGTCGGCTTCTGCAGGGTGAGGGGTGGGAAGGTATGAGAGGAAGCCCTGCTCCTCCCCAGTCTTCTCCTGCGTGCTCTAGGAGGAACTGTGCAGCACGTGGCACCTGTGCAGTCCAACCGGACAGGTTTGAGCCAGCTGAGCCCCTGAAGGACTTTAGTGCCACTGAGAAACTGAACTGGTTCAAAACTGCGGTACTGGGGATTGAAGTCGGGGTGTGTCCGACCAGTGGGCTACATTCCCAGCCCTTTTTGATTTTGAGACACGGTCTCACTAAGAAGCTCAGGCAGGATTTAAACTTGTAATTCTCCTGTCTCACCCTCCCATTGCTGTGGTTACAGGCATGTGCCTTGCACAGGTTTATGTTAAACATTAACTGCTTGGTAAGCACTAGATCATGAGCTTGTTACCTGGTACCAACCCCCCCCCCCCCAAAAAAAAAAAAAAACCAAAAAGGGCTGAGGATTTAGCTCAGTGGCTTAAGCACCTGCCTGGCAAGTGTGAGGTCTCGAGTTTGATCCCCAGTACCAACAAAACAAAACAAAACAAAACAAAACAAAACAAAACAAAACAAAGACTACAATACAGTCCTCCCCTAAACTAGCAGATGGGGAAATACGCCCACCTCAGCACCTACAACCTGCTGTGCAGAGCCCCTTTGCTGTGTGCACTCACAAGGAGCTACATCCTGGGCCCCCGGCACTCCCCTTAGTGCCAGGATCCTTGCAGAGTCCCTTCAAGCTCTCCTGTCTTCTCTCCCCTCTCTGCCTGGGCCGTCTTTTTCTCCTTTGCTACTTTAACCACTGCTGCACCCTCTCATCCAGTGTGGGCCATCTAGAGGCACCATGTCAGCTCTGCCTGGGCCCAGGCTCCTTAAACTTGCCAAGCCCCTCCCCCTGCCTGTGTTCTCTGTATTAGGTAAACAGATCAATCATCCACATGGTTATCCAAGCCAGAGACCCACAACAGATCCTGCGCCTCTCGATTCTCCCTGGGAAGCCCAGGTTATAGCAGGCAGAGTTGTAGGGGTTGTAACGTGACTGCCACTCTTGTTCAATTTCCTCCTCCCACAGGTACGTGGACCCTGCCAACAGGACAAATGTGTTCCTTCCTGTGGCACAGCAGGCTGTAAGATGGAGCCCATCCTGATAGGCTGGTCTTTAAGTCTGTGTGCGGAGATGGGAGTTGGAAGTCAAAGATTCGAAGCACAAGGAGGATTTGTCCTTCTGTTGCTTACTTAAAGGTAGAGGGAGCCACAATGCAAGGCATGTGGGAAGCTTCTGAGGGCTGCAGGTGTCCCCTTACCATGTGCACAGCCAGCAACAGGAGCACCTCACTCCTAGCACACAGGAAACTAATTCTTCAACAAGCAGCTTGGCAATCAGCTTTCCCCTAAAACCTTGGAACAGGAATTCAGTTCTTGTGACCAGCCTTGTGACACCCCAAACAAAGAGCCTAGAGTTCAGTAGGTGGCATGTGTTATTTTAGGGCACTCCCTCTGTGCTAATTAGTTATGTACCAACAGAAAACCAACACAACGTCAAGTACCTGTCACTCCCTGCCTTCCTGGAGCTGGGTTGGAGTCCTCAACTTCTTTTATCTCCCTTCCAAGACTTCACTCCACTTACACCCTTAGCCACATCAAAATGTTCTCCTTAATGCCCCGCAATTTCAATTTCACTTGTACTAGAACAACTTGGGGCCAGGGGAGCTGTTTGGCTTTGCCAAATGGACTGCTTTCCCCCGCCCCTCCTGCTTGCCAGGCCACACAATCTACTAGTGCGTCCTCCTCTGGGAATCCCCCAGCGGGCCCTCTGCTGAGGTCTGTCCCTCCTCTGATCTCCCAGAACGATAGGAATGACTCTATAGTAGCACAGTGCAACCTGGAGACTTATTCTGGTTTCCTTGAGGCAAGGAGCATGTCTTACCTACCAAGCATGCAGGCTGAGAGCCTGGCCCTGCGAGGTAAACAAGTAGGCATTTAAGGGGTCAATTAACCATAGACATCGCCAAGAATAAAATCATTTGACGCTTGACAAACATTTATTGAGCCAGAACTGTCTTCCACTTGCACAATGGGCATTTTATATAAGTGTCTTCTTAAATCCCACAATGGCCTTAAAAGGTCAGTATGAATATCATCCCCACCATACAGACAAGAAAGCCGAGGGTCAACGCCACACGGTAAGTGGCATAAGAGTCCTATGTACGGTGCTGGCTCACCCACGGTGGGGTGGGGGTGTCTGAGAAACGGAGAGAGCTGCTTAAGAAGCTACAGCATGGATTAAGGCCGCCAGTGGAAGACCACGAGGCACTGAGCTGAAATCAAAACGAACACCTGAAAACACGCACCATCATTCCAACCCATGACACAGAGCGAGTTCGAAATGCATTCTCAACTCAAGCAGATGACTACCTGCTAAGGTAAGAGCACGGGTCTAGCGCCTAATGATAACTCTGGAGAAGCTCAAACTGTTCCAAAGCTGGCAGCAGTTCAAGGAGCACCTGCATTCCACATTCTGATCAACACCTGCCAAAGCCACCTTCTAACTGCAGCCCTGAGCCCTTGCTGGCGGTAAGACGCCCCACAGCTCCCCAGGGCACGCACTCTTCCCTGCCACAGCACGCCAAGAAGCCCACCCTTGGCTACCGTGTGCTCCTGAAGCTCGGACGCAAGCTCACTTCCTGCTGACCTGTCTCCCGGACTCCAGGGTGGCCCTCCCTGGCTCCCTGCCCACTCTCACCTGCTTGACCTTGCGAAGCTGATACACCGGTTGCCTCAGCAGCTTATTGGCGGTGATCTCCATGAAGAAGGGGTTGAGAATCCGAACCTGCTTTGGGTTGACGTCCCAGATGAGGGGAGGATGCTTCCAGAAGCCTTTCTGCACCTAGGGGGTGGGGTGCGAAGGGACGGAGAGGACAGTAGGTGAAATCTGTTTTCCGAGTTCAGCTGAGATGGTGGTCTTCAGCGCGGGGCAGGAGCCAGGTGAAGGAGAGACCTCGGAGTGCAGGTGGAAAGGGAAGGAGATGGCCTGTACTAGAGATGGAGGGGAGACCACCAAAGAGAACGAGAGGAGGAAGAGGAGGATACCCCTCTGGGGAGCCAGGTGACAAGGTTTGAGTACAGGGTCTAATCATTACCCACAGCCAGAATACCCAAACAGAAGAAGGGCCTACTATGTTTCAAACTGTCTAAACACTTGGCAAAGTGTCAGCCTGGAAATCAAGTCGGTTGGCACATGTCTATAATCCTCACACTTGGGAGGCTGAGGCAGGACAGAGAGTTCGAGGCCAGCCTAACTACAGAGTGAGCGGTTGTGTCTCCACAAAACGAAACAAGCCAGACTGGACAGTTTACGCTTCGTCCACGTGGCAAAGGAAGGGGCTTTTGTTGGGGACCATCTGGAAGGGCATGGAGCTCACTGTCCTAGCCTGTACCTGTCTGTCTGGAGGTAGCTGTTGGAGGGTTCCTTGGTTCGAAGGCAGACACATTCCAGCAGCAGACAACCCTCCAGTGTGGGGGCCTCTGGCTGCTATGAGGCTTATCAGAAGCCCTTCAAGACGCTGCCCTTGGCGGGGAGCCCAGTACAGGCTGTCGCCTCACTGGCTGTCCAGAGTTGCAGGGCAGACACTACAGGGCGTGAGATCCTGACTCTGACCGTGTCCCCATCCCAGGGGCCTCTCCTTTGCCTCTGCCCTTCCGCCTACCCGCCTCTTGTCACTCAGGATGGTCTCAATCCAGTGGAAGTCCATCGCCTTGAAAGCTACCAGGACCAGAAGCGTGTCTGGGTTGTTCTCCACTTTGGGGTTGAAGTGGGCAGATTCGGGGTAGAAGAGCCGCATGGTGGTCTTGGAGCCCACGTCACTCTCGTAGCCAGCCACCGGGGCATTGTTCAATCTGGGGCAGGAAGAGGCGCCCCATCACTATAGGCCTGGGGCCTGTCTGTGGTCCTCTGCTTGGGACGTCTAATAGCCAAACTCGAGCGGAAAGGGACATTCCCACACACCTGATGACCACGTCGTACTTGTCAATGGCACTGCCAAGCGAGCTGTTCCGCAGCCGGTGTCCATTCCCTACCACCACGCAGCGGCGGCACTGAAGGCTGCAGTGGAAGAGAAGCCATCAGACTAGAAGCAGTGCCTGCTCTCCTTAACCCTCACAGCCCTGGGCCTCCCTAGGGTCCAGCTCAGCCTTACTTCCTAGGCTCTCCTCCACCCCGGCTCCCCACAAGGAGCTTGCGGTCCTGCTGGGTTTGCAGGGCTGGGCCTTAAAGGCAGAGGCAGCTGAGCAGAGCACGTCAGAGAAAGGAAGAGCCGAGGGAGCCCCAGTGAGAAATCCCACTGTGTTGGGCACAGGGGCCTGTGCCTATAACCACAGCCACTATGGAGGCTGCGGCAGAAGGGTTACAAGTTTGAGGCCAGCCCGGGGACTGGTTTGATTCCCAGTTGCACCATAGAACAAAGGAAAAAACAGAGCAGAGCCCCCTTGCTTCTGCCTAGTCCTGCGGTTGCCTCAGTGATACCCTCAGTGGCCTCTGCCTACTCTGGCCCCCTGGTGACCGGGCTGGTTGCCGTGGGGACCAGGGTCCCCTGTGTGTCCAGGAGTCAGGCAGGCTAAGAGGGAGGCTCCCAGGGATGGTGATTTCACAGTGGAGCAGGAGACCAGAAGAGGTGCCCAGACTAGAACGGGAGGGGTCTCCTTACCTCTGGATGCTCTCGGGTATGGAGTAGCTGGTGATGGCCAGCACCCGCAGTAGCAGGTCTTCTACGAAAGAAAGGACAAAAGGAGGGGACTGAGACAAGCCGTGAGCATTCCAAAGCTGCCTACCCTGCTCCAATCCTCCTTGACCTGATCACCTAGGACTGCCCCGGAGCTTGGCACAGGGCCGGGGATGGCAGGAACAAGCAGCGGCATGGGCAAACTGAGCTGGGCAGAAACTCACCACTCCCCTTGGTGCCGAACGGCAGCTCATAGATAGATGGTGTCTTGACCCAGAAATAATCCTTAAGCTGCAGGAAGATGGGGTGACTCTGGGAGTGGCTGCAGAGGAGAGGAATGACGGGGAATTAATCTGGGTGCCAGCGTGGGCTTGGGCCTCAGAGGACTGGCTTCTCTTAACCCACGTCTACCAGCCAGCTGTTAGCAACCAGGCTGCACACACCATTCACTGTCCCAGCCCCTCATCATCTGGCACTTACTTGCCGAAGATTACAGAGACAATCCTTCTTGCCTCGCCCTGGACGCATGGCTCCGTCTTCTCTAGGATGGGAAAATAAAAACTGGAGACAGAGAGAGGAGGCAGGAGCCCCAGTCAGACCCAAGGCCGGATCCCAGGTACCTTTCCTGGAGCACAAAGATCCCACAGCACTGGAGAAGGAACTGTAAGGGAGAATTCATGACCAAAGTTCAACCTTGTGCCCAAATCACCAAGGATCCAGTCTTTCCTGCCCTGCAGTCCCTCTACAGGGGCCTGAGGGGAGTCATCTGGATCCCATCCCCATCTATCCACCCCCTGCCCTCACAAGACTCTGCCCCAGTAGCTGAGTGATCATCGCTGGCCCTCAGAAACTCCTTCTCTGCTAGGCCTTCTGCCCGTGACCACCCTATCCCTGAGGAAAAACCAAGGAAGGACACAGAAGGTAAACTCACAGCTCAAAGTATCTGTCCTCTCGGGAGATGGAATACCATACCATGACCACCAAGACCAGAGCCAACATGGCCAGGAACTTCCAGCCTGCAGGATACATACACAGAGGAGCTGGAGGCAGAAACAGGCAGATGCAGTCCCAGTGCACCTCTTCACCTGCCCCACCTGAGCACTGCCAACCCCCTGGCCCTCTCCTGGCCACCCTGGCTCAAGGCTGGGACCCAAGTGCTTCTGCTGCCCTTCAGGATGAAGAGGGGCTCCCTGGCTCTGGGCTGGATCCTCCACCGCCCCCAGGGGTCCCAGGACACTGCCAAGGCACGTTCATGGAGGCCATCCTTCACTGGGGGAGCCCCTGGACAACACTCACGGGACTTGCTGATCATGTTTCTCAGCAGGTGGCAGGGATCCTGGGGAGAACTGTCATCCCGGCTGCCTCGGGCCACCTAGGAGGTAGGATCCCAGGTGTCTGTCTAGTTGGCTCCACATATACTCCAGGCTGACCACAGAGTGAGACACACCCCCACCCGCCCCTTTCTTCCTCCAGGAAGCAAAAAGCCACTCCCTGGGGCAGCCGTTCCCAGGGGGACCTTGCTGGCCCTAGACTTCCTGCTGAATCAAATCCTCCTGGAGCACCATTAGGAATATCAGGAATCAGGTAGGGCGGCCTGCCACAGAAAGGGAAACTGAACTCCCTGGCCTCAAAGATGAGGTCCCAAGCCAGACAGGTTTACTCCAGCCTCTTCAGTGTGGTTCACCTCACTGTTCAGCATTTTGACCTAGGAAAGACCATATCAGGGGGACAATAGTACCCCATCCACATTATTTTTTGTGGCATTACAGAAGAAATCTAGGGCCTTGGGCTTACTACCATTGAGCTCCCACCCTGCCCTCTCCAGCCTTTTTTGGGAGGGGGCTCTTTTAAAAATAGGCTTTCCCTATGCAGTTTAGGTTGGCCTGGGAGACACAGAGCAGATCCTCCTGCCTCTACCTCCAGAGTGCGGAGATTACAGGCATGCACAGCCATGCCGGGCTCTCTATAGTCACTTCTGCCTCGAAGTTAAACTTCCTGTGCTTACACTTGGGTTGTATTTTACCCAAACCAAGTTTATCTACCCTGTACCACCTAGGCTAACACACGGGTCTGGCCAGAGCCCCCTCTCATTAGCAATCTTCAAAGACTGACTAGGGAGGATCATCTTCAAAATGGTCAAACAGAAGCCAGCCCCTAGTACCCGGGGGTACTAAAGAATGTATCTGAATATATGTGTTCTGATTCAGGGATGTGGGTGGGGCCTGAGGGCACTCCCCACCCCCACCCTGCCGGTTGGGTGTGAGCACACTTCAAGTGGCAGAGCTCTGGGCAAGGGCTCTCCCAACTCATTACTTTGACAGCTGTACCCTCCCCCACCCTCTTCAGCATCCAGCATTTCCTTCTCACCATGACTCTTTTTATACCAGTAAGTCACAGCACTGGCTGTCCAAGGCTAGGACCAGAAGAGTTTTAAAGATATCCCGATGTCTAGTCCCTTCTGTTATTTAATTAGTTAGGGGTCCAAGCATCAGTATATGAAGCAAAGCAAACACACGAAAGACACCTCTGTGGGCCAGGGATATAATAGCTCGGTGGCACAGCACCTGCCGGGCAAGTGTGAGGCCCTGAGTTCAATTCTTGACAGCAAACAAACAAACACCCTACCTCTATGATTCCAATATGCAGCCAAGACGGAAAATGCTGTACATGGCATGTTCCGTAGCAGCAGGAACTTCTGCCCGTCTTGCCCAATCTCAAGGGAAGACACTTTGGTGGTCAGAGGGGAGCAGCCTGGATCAGGCCCAAGCAGTTCTTCTTTGACCTCTTTCTGCATGCGGTTCTGCACTGGCAGTGTCTTTATCCCATTAAGGAGCTGTGTGTGCTCTTCTGGGGCTGTTTTAGGGCTTGCTCCGAGATCCTCAACTAGGGATCTGATGAGCCTGCCCCTCCTTTGTTGGGCTAAGCCACAAGTACCGCTATCGGTACTGGAGCCTTCTCCTAGCACCGCCCCTGGGTACAGACAATCAAGAGGCTAGGTGCACGTCCAAAGTACATGAGCCTCTCCCTCTAACCAGTTGCTCAGGGCACCAGCTTATATAACTTCTAGGCAAAGCTGACCCAGCGCAGGAGGGCCAGCTGCTCTCTCTATGTTTTGTACTAGGGATTGAACTCACGACCTTGTGCTTGCCAGGTAGACACTTATGCTACCGAGCTAAATCCCTGGCCACTAACTAACTGCTTTTAGTGCTGTCCCAAGGACCAAGGTGCCCTGCTAAAGTGAGCTGGTGAGTACAGTCAGGGACTGGTCCAAGGGCAGAAATGAATGCTTGAGGTGAAGACTCGAGGCCTACCAGGAGCAGGACTCCCACTTCTCACTGCCCACACACACGCACACTCACAGGGTAACCTAGCCCTGCTATCTTCAGGGGCACTGTGCAACACCCAGACCTGTCACAGGATTCACTTACTGTTTCAGTGAGGTTTTTTTTTTTTTTGGTAGTGGTACTGAGGACTGAAGTCGTATGTTTTAAAGTCAGTCTCACTTAGGCCCCCTCAGTTCTGTAATGAAACACTGGATATCAGGTCCTGAGATCCCCAAGCTCTCAAACGAATGTACAGCAGAGGCTTAAATAAAAGGAGACAAGTGGTATGATTTTAGGGCTCCAAGTGGGTCAAAGCCCTGTAGCTGAGCTCAAGACTCCGAGGGCTAAGACAAAGACTTATCTTTATTAGGTCCAACAACAAAGGGCAGGGAAACTGAGGAAAAACACAGGCAACGAGCAGGACCTTGGGAGTCACTTCAAGGACGTCTCCAATTATGAATCAAGTCAATTCAGTAGAACTGTCTTATCATGAAGACATGATAGGAGTGAGACAGTAGGTGTAACTCCTGAAGCTGCAGTCTCTATCTGATTGATGTTTGAGCCAAGTGTCCACAGCTGTGGCCTTATCTTGCCCTTTGAGTATCTCTGACCTCAAAGGCCACTACAGGCCTTAGCAAGGACCAGTGATTCACAGAGGTCCACTTACTCTGAGTCAGCTCCTGTCACCAGGCAAGGAACCCATGCCTAGGACAGACTCACAGATAAACAAAGAAAGCCAATTAGTTAATTTTAAATCCTGCTCAGAGTCGCTGGGTAGTGGTCTCCAACAACTAGAGGCACCTGCCTGCCTGCCTGCTAGCTCTGGACTCACCCCCACTTCTTCCAAATCCCACCATCTGGACAAAGGAAGCCCTCTCCCCTGCCATCACCTTCCGAGTACCAATCCCCCATCACAAGTTGGAGCCCACTGGGCAACCATGCAGCATCCTATCTCGAAATTAAAAGGAGCCAGGAATGTAGCTCAAATACAAAGGGCCTAGGTTCAGTCGCCAATGCCATAAAAGACGACAGAATTCATCCCAGTGATGTCCCTGCTCTGCATTCCCTACCATTGCTTCCCTCTCTCCTGCCTGACCTCTAAACACACTCTGGACTCCCTAAAATGCAAAATCCTGAATCTTTCTGTCCCCTGCCTCTCACTCCTCACCTATCTGGTCTTCTTCCCTGCTTTCTCCTCTGCCCTCCACCCACTCCTCTCTCATTTTGTGCTGAAAACATCAAAGTCCTCCCAGAGGCCTCCGAAACCCGGGGCAAACCTACCCGGGTCCTCCTGCGCTCCTGGACAGCTCTCGTTGGCCCCATTCTGCTTCCCACACTTTATTTAAATGCTGGCATTCTCCAGGCTCTTTCCGGGAACCCTTCCATACTTTTTCACACAAGTTCATTCATTTTCAGAGGTTTAACTAGTAGGCACACATTGATGCTTGGAGGTCTTTTGAGCCCGAGTTTCTCAGATCCCACCCTAATATTTCTAACTGTCTGCTTGGATGACCTTAAATGCTTCAGGCTGGACTTGTCCCGCGCAGCCTCCTCTCTCTGCCCTCTAACCCCAGATGTGCATGGTCCCAGCCGGCCCCTTCCCAGCCGGTTACCCCAGGGTGAGTTCCTACCCATGTGTTCGGTCCAGCAAACCCTTCCTGGCGTCACACAGGCACAGAGGACCTGAAGCCTTATAAAGCCAGCCCCAGTGTACAGTCCGCAGTCTAGACCCCCAATGCGGCCCCCATCTCCCTGTCCTGCCGCTAGAGCCCACCACACGGGAGTGAGCCGAGAGAGACAACTCAGGCTTCCACACCGGCTTCACACTTCGTCATCGTTAGTCCACTGTCAGCTCTCAGCCTCCGGGTGCTGGGATTACACTTGTGCTCCAACACTCCTTGCTCTGAGCTTTATCTTTAAAGCTCATTTTAAACTAGCTGACGTAAGTTAGACAAAACTCTCCGTTTCAGATACTCACTGTCCCTCTAGAATAATTATCTTGAAACTCACTAAAAGACTCAGGTCTCTTGCAGTCTTCTATCAGTGTTATACAGATACAAACACAACAATATGAAATATATCCACTAGGCTCAAATACATTATTTATAAATTTTAAGGAGCAAAGAAGACATTAATTTATACTTAGAAAATACCTTTATTTTAACTTAACTATAGATAATTTAACTTAGATGGTAAATATCTATATATTTATTTCTTAGCAATTGCCCACACAATGTAAAATATCTGACAAACACAAGTCAAGGTCCCAAAAGACCCCCCCCCCCGAGGGGGGGGAATGCCAAAAGTTGCAGTCAATACCTCAAAACTGCATCTACATGTCTACACCAGAATGCTCTTTAAAAATCCTCAAAGAGTTTCTCTGGGCCTTTTAAATGTGAATATTTACACAGATCCCAATGCATTATTTGAAATCATATTTTCATGTCACCAAAAGCAAACCATCTAGATAATATGGATGCCGTAAAAGAATCCACTCTGAAGACTATAAAAGGAGCTTCACTAATCATGAGCACTTCAAATGGCAAAGCTCAGAAGATCTAGAAAGATCCAAGAACTGCAGGGAGAAATGGTTGTTCCCTACCAGCTCCTCCCGGCTTGGTCATTTCAGAGTTATAAAAGTTATTACCAATGTAAACGTGGACTCAGCTTTTCCAGGAAATTAACAAGAAGTGCAGCTTGGCTGGCAACGCTTACTCAGACAGAAGTTAATGCATAAGACAAAACTGTTTCTCTCCTTCACACAGACTTAGTAAGAAAGCTCTCACATGGGCTGTCACTGGATAATGTTTGATACACAGAAACTTTTCAAACTGCTCCCATTTCTCTACTATAATAAACCATAGGGGATTTGTTACCAATTTCAACTTCTGCTGAATAAAATAACAAAGTGTGTTGGGCTCTGTAAACCGCTCTAGTTTAAGAAAGCAGCTTTGAAAATATCCTGAAACAAACCAATATTGGACTGATGCAGTCGTGACCCAGAGACCACACCGGGAGGCGGAAACACTCACACCTGGGCCTTCCCCTG